TCTACATGGCCCCAGGTTGATCAGCTGCTGAACTAGGTAGCGGCCTAGGAAGAGGCATGACCCTGAGTCAGGGCCTCTCTTTAGCAGAGAACTCTGGGGTGGCAGAAGTCAAAGAACTGTTCACTGAATCACCCTGAGAAAGTGAGGCAGTAGGTGTCTTCAGGGATGGAAACATGGGTGGTGCCCATAGATGTCTTCTATAGTGGCCAAAAATGGCTATTTCAGTTTTCTCATGAATTCTGTAATATATATATGGACAATCTCTGACGTCTGCTTTCCACTGGGTGGGATGATCTAGCTCCAAGACCTTCTTCACTTCTACACTTGGGGTTTGTCTTAGTCAGGGTTCCTATTGCTGTGAAGAGACACCATGACCATAGCAACTCTTATAAAGGAAAACATTTAACTGGGGCTGGCTTACAGTTCAGAGGGTTAGTCCATTATTATCATTGTGGGAAGTGTGGCAGCACACAGGCAGACACGGTGCTGGAGAGGAGCTGAGAGTTCTACATCTGGATCTACAGGCAGCAGGAAGAGAGAGAGAGACACTGGGTTTGGCTTGAGCTTCTGAAACTTCAAAGTCCTCCCCCTAGTGAGACACTTTCACTAACAAGGCCATACCAGGTAACAGTGCTACTCCCTATGGGTTTATGGGGGTTGTTTTCATTCAAACCACGAGAGTTCTTTGTTTTTTTTCCTTCCTGTGACTCTCTTTTTATGGCATTTCTATGTGTTTTGCAGATAACCACATGTGTTATCTTACAGAAGGGATTCAGGTGGGATGAACCCCCCCACCCTGCCTATGATGACCACCCTAGAGTTGGCACATAGTCACTTCTGTGTTGGCCCTGTAGCCAGAGTAGTCAGGGGGCCTCCTGCACTCATGGCAGAGTGGAGCCATAGGTGACGTCTCTTGAGATGATGGCAGAGCAGAGCCATGGTGACATCTCTTGGGATGATGGCAGAGTGGAGCCATAGGTGACGTCTCTTGGGATGATGGCAGAGCAGAGCCATGGGTGACATCTCTTGGGACGATGGCAGAATGGAGCCATCGGTGACATCTCTTGGGATGATGGCAGGTTCTAGGTGCAGAGGGAAAGGAGTGAGATCCTGTCTAGCCATCTTTAGAAGACCGCAGTGGCTAGGATCATGGCAGAGCCAGCTACCCACAGGACAAGGGTTTGCTGTGTGCATACATTTCCAGTTCCACTGTTCCTGATACTGTGTGAGTGGCTTGCCTGGACCCACGGAGACAGAACACATCCGGGACAGCTTTTGTCTCACCCTAATTCCAGAGAGCTGCTATTAAATATTCCAGCACTCTACCGCCACTGTGGGAGGAGTTTTAGTAGAGGCTAAGCAGGAAGAAAGGCATCAATATTTGCTAACCACAGAGGACCTAGATGTGCCTGGGAACCTTGGGGCAACTTTATTTAAAAAGTGTGGTTGGCCCTCTTATTTATAGGAAAAGAACCAGAGTCTCCATGAGCCTGAGTGGCTTTGTAGGGTTTGAGTTAGGATCACCTTACGTTTGTCATCCTGCCTTGTAAAGGCTGGAACTCCTGGGAGTGAGAGGTTCGGATCTGAAGAGAAACAGCAGATTAGCAGGAGGGTGCAAGAGTTTCCTGGGGAAAGCCATTAGCAGGGGGGTGCTGGGGAGAGCCATTAGCAGGGGGGTGCTGGGGAAAGCCATTGGAGGGGGTGCTGGGGAGAGTCATTAGCAGGGGGTACTGGGGAGAGCCATTAGCAGGGGGGTACTGGGGAGAGTCATTAGCAGGGGGGCTGGGGAGAGCCATTAGCAGGGGGGCTGGGGAAAGCCATTGGAGGGGGTGCTGGGGAGAGTCATTAGCAGGGGGGTACTGGGGAGAGCCATTAGCAGGGGGGCTGGGGAAAGCCATTGGAGGGGGTGCTGGGGAGAGTCATTAGCAGGGGGGCTGGGGAGAGCCAGCCACTGAAGAGGACAGAGCCAAAGCCCAGGACAACAAGGTCAACCATCTGGGACAGGAAGAAGGGTCGGTAGAGTCACTAGAGGAATCCATCCGCCTATGTGCTATACAGAGTTTCCTGTGGGCAGGAGAAGGTATGGGTTTGTGTGGAAGCACCACCAGTGTCAGATGGAGGTGGGAAGCCCTGAAGAGAGGCAGAGAGAGGAGGTGGGAACAGCACCAAACTCACAAGGGAAAGGCCCTGTTCTGTTTGTTCTTCTGTTCTTCCCTCTGCTCTCTGGGAATCTCAGCAGTCTGGCCCCAGCATGGGCCAGCTGAGGAACAGCTGAGAATAGACAACTTCCTGGTCAGAGCCATTCTGTGTCCTGTGCTATGGGGGCTCGGCCTTCTTCCTTTATTGTTCGGGACTCTGCCTTGTGCCAGACTCGGGCAGTGATCAACATTCATCCAGCATATTTTGTAGTTTGGTTCTTTTGAGACAAAGTTTCTCAGTGTAGCTTTGGAGCCTGTCCTGGAACTCACTCTGTAAACCAGGCTGGCCTCAAACTCACAGAGATCCACCTGCTTCAGCCTCCCGAGTGCTGGGATTAGAGGTGTGTGCTACCACTGCCCAGCCTCATCCAACATCTTTAACCCTCAAAGGATTATTTTGTGGCTCTTACTGATGGGAGAATGAAGTTCAGAGAGAGAGAGAGAGAGAGAGAGAGAGAGAGAGAGAGAGAGAACTTCAGTTTGCAGGAAGTCTGAGAGGGAATTAAGAGTCTAACCTGGGGGCGGGAGAAATGGCTCAGTGGTTGAGTCCTGGCTTCTTTTACATAAATCGGGGTTCAATCCCAGCACCCATGTGGGTGCTCACAGTGTCTGTATCTCTAGTTCCAGGGGATTCCATGGCCTCCATGAACACCAGACATGCCTGTGGTGCACATAAGTACATGCAAACAAAACACTCATACACATAGAATAAAACAAATAAATCTTAGAGTTTATTTCTTAGAAAACTATCTGTCCTGGGTGCCCTGAGTCTAGGTTATGCAATGTGAATGCCATCTGTCTGGATGGAGGGGGCTGTAGCCATTTCCATCATAGATAGTACAGAAGAGGCTGGAGGAGCAGGCAGACTGGCCCATCGCTCTCTTTGTGTAGGGTCCTTTGTGGTTTCTCGTTTTCCCTGTCTTTTCCTCCTCCCTGTACTTGAACGATTCCTTCTCTAGCTGTTTCAATCCCAATAACTCACTGGGCATCGCATTTTGAATGGGGAGAAGTGGAGGAGTGTGGCCAAGGGCATTGTGGAGCCTAGAGTGAGGGGCTGAATATATCTCTCAGCGCTCCACTGGGAGATGCAGCCGGGAGAGGCAGGCACCTCACTGACAAGGTTCACACTCTTTGTTGACTCCAACTGTCCTCTGGAGTCCCAGGCTGGGTCAACAGCCCTCCAGTGATGACAGAGCATGGGATAGCCTCCCCACCCCCCAAGAAGTGGTTCCCAGTGTTTTCAGTGCTTGTTAAAAGTGCCCAGTGGAAACCATCACACAGCAGGTCAGTGGAGCCTAGCTGTGCAAGCAGACAGCTTCTGACATGGAGGCTGAGGATGTGGGGTGAGAAGCCTTCCTTCAGGATAAGACCCACGTTCTCTAGCCTGTTTATACTGAATGGGTGTAGATTTATTATTCACTTGCATGTGTGTGGGGTCCCGGCCTGCTGAACAATACAGACCATAGCCGTTATGTGCATAATCACATTTAATTACAATGTTGTGAATTGTTAAATTTGGTAAAGATTACCTTACAAGGACTCTTGTTAAACATTCCCTGTTGTTTTCTGTTAACCACCCCTGTGGGGTTTTGGAGGAATTGTTCTTCTCTTTACTAGATAGAAAAGTTTTGAGTTGTTACTGTGAGCCTGGCACTGTGCTGTGGGTAGGGCAGTGTACAGCAGGCTCTGCCTGCTGCCCTCAGTGGGTTTATTGTCTAGCGGGGTGGGGCAGTGACAGACTCAACAAATCTTCCGCTAGCCATGTACCTTGTGGTCTTTCATAAGTTCATTCTTAGCAACTAAAATATTTCTTGAAGTTATTAGTAAATTGTTTTTAATTGCATTTATAAATATGCACATATTCACTTATAAACAAATGTAGACCAAAGAAAATCCTTATGATACCATGTTGCAATCAATTTAAAATTAGTTGAAATACAGGTTAGGAATCTTCTGATTACTTCTCTAACATATAGGATGAATTATTCTTTGAGTCCTAGACAAAGCTGGGTGTAGCTCCCCATCCCTGAACAGAGAGTTAAAAATTCTAATTTGAAATGTCATCAAAATGTAAAGAAATGCTAGAGGCTGGAGTGATAACTCAGTGAGTAAATGCTTGCTGAGCGTTCGTGAGGAGCCGAGTTCACATCCCTGGTACCCATGTAAAAGCTGTGTGTGGCCACTAGCTTCTGTAACCCCGTGCTGTGGGATAGAGACAGGCAGATCCCAGGGCCTTGCTGGTCAGCCACTCTAGCCAAAATAGGGAGCTCTGAGCTCAGAGAGCAGCATCTTAAAAAATAAGGTGAGATGGGCAGTGGTGGCACACACCTTTAATCCCAACACTCGGGAGGCAGAGGCAGGTGGATGTCTGTGAGTTCGAGCCAGCCTGGTCAACAGAGTGAGTTCCAGAACAGACTCCAAAGCTGCACAGAGAAACCCTGTCTTGAAAAACTAAAATAAAAATAAATAAATAAATAGACGAATAAGTAAATGAATGAATAAACTAAAATAAATAGAATAAGGGGATTAAGAGGCTGAGGAAGGTATCCCCTCTGGCATCCACATAGGCCTACACCTATGTGAAGAGTGCACACACAGTATGCAGATACCCCTATTCCTTTTTAATTCCCTACAGCCTCTCATTGCTCTGTCCCCACCTTTTGTGAATGTGGCACCTTAGTACCCATAGCTATTTCATCACATTTTCCTGAAATTGTGCCTGTAAGTTGCCAGTCACCCATGAGAGAAGGAGCAGAAGACTCGGGAGGAGGATCTCCATTAACCCTGGCTCCTGGCTCTCAGTGTTGCAGGGGGTGAACTGTTTGACTTCTTGGCTGAGAAAGAATCCCTGACTGAAGAGGAAGCAACGGAATTTCTCAAGCAGATTCTCAGTGGTGTTTACTACCTACACTCGCTTCAGATCGCCCACTTTGACCTGAAGGTAACACACACTGTGAGTGGAAGCCGGTGAAGCCGGTGGAAGCCGGTGAAGCCAGTGGATCCCTCTACCAGCCTTTGTGTCTTGTTGGCTAAGAGCAACTGAGGCTCCCGAGTAAAGATTTCCCCGATGTGGGTTTAACAGATGGAATTGTTTCTGTAATTCATTAGCATATGAGGTCTTCCTAGGACTGGGGTGTCTAATCTCTGTTTTGTGGGGTAGAGGCTTAAGATCAATGGTCACAGTCAGGAATCCCTGGGAAGGAGGCAGAGGGGCTTCCTAACCAGGTGCTTTGGCAATGGCTGCTCTTGGACACTAGGCTATTGGCTGGGTTGGCTGGTGACTGGCACAGTTTTCACCCTCCTATGGCTGGAAATTTGGTGGACAGTGTGTTTTCTCTTGATGCAAGCCCGGGGTCTGACCCTCCCCTTCACTGTCAAGCCAACCCAACCCCAAAGTTTGCTGGTATAGCCAGTCTCTTACCCACTGGAGGCAGGGCTGTATGGGGGATGGGAAATGTGTGAGCTCCATTTCTAGCCGTTATGGAGTCTTAATCTTTTAGGGGGGAAGGAAGACAGCATAGGGACAAGAGGAAGGGACTGATAGAGGGACTGGAGGTGACCACAGGCTGGCATAGGCCATTGAGCTAGATCAAGACTGCAGAAGACCGACGTGGCCTGTAGTTTTCCCTATAGCAGGACCATCAAGGCCATGTCATGTCTGTGTCCCTGTGCCCAACATCTGCTTGATGTCTTGTTTCTGACCTGGGGAGCTGGCAGTGCCCATAAATAAGTGCCCGCGGGCAGCTATCAGGACCGGAGGGTAGATGACAGACAGACACAGGATCTGCTTCTGTGGGAAAGACTCCAAGTTCTGCTTTCTCCTCAAACTGTCAAGAAGGATGATGCCCTCGTCATCCTACCTTAATAACAGACATTTTAGATCTGCCTCCTGTTTCCTGCCTCCCTGTCCTTACCATGGGTTTTCAGGCCTCAAATTCTTGTCTCAGACCTCCTGGAAACCCTGAGCCCCAAACCTGTTATTCCCAGTTCTCTTCTCATCTACCTCCTCTTGGGGGTTTTGTCTATTTTTTTTAAGCACGAAGAAGGACCATTTGACACCTTTACTCCTCTTTCTTGCTCCCTTTCAGCCGGAAAACATAATGCTTCTGGATAGAAACGTGTCCAAGCCTCGGATCAAGATCATCGACTTCGGCCTGGCCCATAAAATCGACTTTGGAAATGAATTCAAAAATATATTTGGGACACCAGAGTTCGTGGGTAAATTTTCTTGGCCCTTAAGCTCACTTACATCTCATCCACATTCTGCTGGCAGAATCTCCCTGGCTTTGGGGTTGTTTCCTGTCCATGTTTCTGTTTGTCACATGAGGGTAGACTCTGTTGGCTTGCAGCCCTCCCAAGCTAATGAGTCTTTATTTTCTCGTAGCTCCAGAGATTGTCAACTATGAGCCCCTTGGTCTCGAGGCAGACATGTGGTAAGGAGAATGTCCTTGGTGTTGGTGTCTTTCTGATCTCTTTGGCTGTTCTCCTAACCTGGCTTTGTTTTTGTTTCTGTGTGCAGGAGCATCGGGGTAATAACCTACATTCTGTAAGTATCGAGTCTACAACTCATGTATTCTTTCCTTATCTCTGAGACCAGAAGTGTCAACCAGATAGATCATGTGGGCCCTTTCAGCTCGTGCATATTCTCCTTTAAGCATCTTCATTCCAAACCTTTAAAAGGGGGTTTATTTTAGGCTATTTGGGTTTATTCTTCCTCAATCAAAATGAATTGCCAGAGATTGTAGCATAATCATGGTGAGGAATTCTAGCTGTCTATCATCGAGAAAATAGGAAGAAGAGTTTTATTTTAAACTACCTACTGGTTCAAATGACCGTGTGCAGGGGTGTTTGTGTGTGATGTAAATACCACATAGCATGTGTGTGTGTGTTGTACTTGTTAGTGTGAGTGTACACAGGTCCGAATGATTGCTTTGCACACCACTTTTTATTTTTTGAGATAGGGTTTCTTTATGAACCTTAAGCTCATTGATTTGGTTATAGTGGCTAGCCAGCGAGCTTAAGGGATCTACTTCTCTGTCACCCATTGCTAGGGGTACAGTCACATGCCACTGTGCCCGGCTTTCTTTGTGGATTCTGGAGGTCCAAATGCAGCAGGCACTTTAACAGCGGAGCCATCTCTCTAGCCCCAGATGAACCTTTAGCAGGACGGCTTTGCATGAAGTCAGTACTTTTGTTCGTAGCGATGTGTGGTTGATTCTGAAGTGACTAATCCCGCATCAGGCTCTACTCCTGTTTGGCATTTCCCACAAGAGACTCAGAAGAAGCAGTGACTCCACATGAGTGGTCATTAATGTTCTCCTAATGCCCTGCTTTATTCTCAACAGCCTAAGTGGGGCCTCCCCATTTCTTGGAGACACCAAGCAAGAAACATTAGCGAATGTATCTGCTGTCAACTATGAATTTGAAGAGGAATTCTTCCGTAATACCAGTGCCCTTGCCAAAGATTTCATCAGGAGACTGCTGGTCAAGGATCCAAAGTGAGTGTCCCCTCTTCCTGTACGGCGGAGCCTCCTGTGGCTGGGACTGGAAACAGCAGGTGTTCTGTGTGTGGCCACCTTTTGTCAGACCCTCACTGTTCTACTTGCTAAAGGAAGAAGGCCCCAGAAGGAAGTGCCGCAGAAGGCGCATTTAGTCTGCCTGCTTGCTGGCTCCGTCCCTGCACAGAGGACGAGTCAGTAGCTAAGCTGGTGACCTGCAGGGTTGCTCTCGGGGTTTGTTTGTTGATAATGTGGGCCCCAAACTGCATCCAGAGTGTCTGCTTGGTAGACTGGGCCAGCATGGAGATAACCTTACCCCTGTCTCAATGTCATGAGAATTTTCTTCTTCTTCCTTTTTTCCCCAAAGGAAAAGGATGACAATCCAGGACAGTTTGCAGCACCCCTGGATTAAGGCGAGTTGCTTCTTATGTTTGGGGTTCTCATCATTCCTCAGGGATTGGTATGAGCACGTGTGGGTCGTGCTGGAGTGTGAACTGACTACTGGTCCCGTAATTGTAAGACAGCGTGGTAGGCAGCAGTGTGTCCCAGTGATTACAGAGGGAGAAGAATGGTCTGTTCAGAGCAGGAAGAAGTCACATCTGTTGAGCAGACGTGTTTGGTGCAACCTATGGAATTACAGTACAAGCAGCATTTTAAAGCTTGAATTATTTTCTATCATATAGCTGTTTCAAATCTCAGGATCTTTTGAAAAATCTGAAGGTCTGTAGACGCCACACCCTCCTTCCACACAGCAGTAGGGGAAGCTGTCCTTTCTTTGGACCCTTGACCCTGACACATAACACTTTTACATTGCTGGCCTATTGGTACTTGGGCAAACAAAACTGAATTTGCTTCAGCCTGACATAAGAGGAACTGAGGCTGGCAAATGTGTAGCTTTCTGTCCTTGTGGCAGAGTGCCTGGGAAAAGGTCTTTGTTCAGAAGGACAGGCTGGTTTGGATCAGTTTTAGAGTGGTGGACAGCGGGCATGGTCATTGAGGCCTCTAGCAAGATGGTTCATTACAGCAGAGAGAATGTGGTGGGTGGAGACGCTGACCACAGGGTAGCCAGGCAGGCTGGCGGGGTGAAGGGGCAGTGGTCCTGGTAGGTTCCTTCAAGGACTCACCTTCTTTCCAGTGGCCTCCACCACTGCAAAGTTTCTTTCCTGCCCAGGAGTTGCACAAGCTGGCCACTAAGCCGTTAGAATAAGAGGCATTGTGAACATTTAAGATCCAATCGATAATAAAGGTATCTAGTAGTTGACAACAAACCCATGGGCCTCATCAGTGGGGATTATGGAAGGCCTGGGCTCTAGCTCTACCACTTGGGTAGAGCCTGTGCCTACGTGTGTCTGCTGAGGAAGATGCAGTGAACTTGTCTGAGTGCCCATAGGATGGGCCAAATGTGCAGACCTCTAGGGTCCCTCCCAACTTGACATCACTTAGTAAGACTCAAGTTCAAACCTATCACAAAAGGCCTCTCCACGAATCTTGCCATTCCCAAACTGTCACTGTGGAAGACTGTCACTGAGTTTGGTTACAAGCTTGCCTTCTGTTCTAGATGCCCTTTCTATGTCTTATACAAAATATTGAGTCATTAAGAGTTAGCTGGCAGAGCCTAGTTCTTCCCTAGATGGTTTTCTTTTTTGGGAGGGTCCCAAGTATGCCCGGCTAGCTTCAATTTTGGATACAGGCAAGGATGACCGTGAATGTCTGACCCTTCTGCCTTCCCCTCCTGAGGGCTGAGACTGCAGGCATGAACCACCCTGCTTGGTTTATGAGGTGCCAGGGATCAAACCCAGAGCTTCTTGAATGCTAGGAAGTCTCTGCACCTGCTGAGCTGCATCCCAGCCTAGCTCCTGGATCTTGAATGCTGTTCTCCACTCTGTATGTTATTTTAGGATAGTGAGTATGTAAGCCTTTCAGAGTAGTGAGGGATCTTAAAGCATTACCATTTAACCCGTTTCTGTAATTAGCTTTCATTATTTTATTTTATTTTGAATTTTCATTTTAGCCTAAAGATACACAACAAGCTCTTAGTCGAAAAGCCTCAGCAGTAAACATGGAGAAATTCAAGAAGTTTGCAGCTCGGAAGAAATGGAAAGTAAGACTCTACGATGCGGAGGCATCAAACTCTGTTTTTTTTCTGTCTGGTCAGGGCTTACTCTTCTCATCCTGGGATCGGTAACTGCCTTTATTTAACAAGAGGCTGGTCTGCAAACTTCTGTGCTCTTATTAGTGACTTTCAAAGACAAGCACAAACCATATTTCAGGGCTATTTAGCTTATCCTTTGAAATGAAATTTTGCACGCTCTTTTTCTTAGATTATCCCCAAAGCAGATTTTGAAATCAGTACAATAAAGTTACAGTGAACGGTTTTCCAACTGTAACAAATCACATTCTAAATAAACCAGTTCTTCCTGGTGAGCAGCAAGGCCTGAAGCTTGGATCAGAAACCCTCCCTCCTCCTCGTGGGCTTGCAGGGGGACCCAGGATGGGGTATAAGCCCAGGCATTATGGCCTCTCCTTCTCCCCTGTGATGCCTTCCCTGTGACCTAGGTGGAATGCTGGTTCAGGCATCTTTGAAGCAATCAAAATTCCTGGATCAGAAGGTGATGGTGTGCCTTCCAGTGCCCAAGATTCGGTCAGATCTGGAGGGAGCAAGCCCCTGTCCTTCTCCCTGGCTGATCTAGTGCTGTACCTCAGTTTTATACCTAGACTGCCAACAAGTCTTAGAGCTTATGTCTCGGTCTCTCTCCCCCTTCTTCCTCTTTTTTTCCCTCTCTCTTCTTCTTTCCTTCCCTCGTGTTTCTTCATTTCCCCATGGCTTCCTTCAGCCTTTGAGGATATGGAGGAGGTTGTACTGCAGACCAGTGCATCTGTCTCCCATCTGTACGTGCTAATAGTCACATGAATTCCTTTAGCTGACTTGGGCCCAGAGAGCTCAGAGCAAGGCCCTTGCATCCCATGCTGGACCCAGGAAGATCCCACAAGGGTTTTGTTGGGGTTTAGAAAACAAGGCACAGAGAGAGACATGGGATATGAGGCACCCACTTCCGCAGGTCGTAGTGAATGCACAGAGTCTCTCTGTCTTGCTGTCTGAGCACATGACCTTTAGAATACTTCCTTAAGCAAATAGCCCAGCCTGCCATGGAGTGCCCACCCCTGGAGGCCTTTTGGCAGTGAACATGTTCTCAGTGCCTTCTTCCTAAATTCTCTTTCCTCCGCCCCTTGACTTCATGTTTATTTTGTTTTTAGCAATCTGTTCGCTTGATATCACTGTGCCAAAGATTATCCCGGTCGTTTTTGTCCAGAAGTAACATGAGCGTGGCCAGAAGCGATGATACTCTGGTAAGCAATCCTGTTTGCCTTGGCCAGCTTCTTTCACGACTGTGTTTAAATTGTTTACACTGTTCTGTTTGTTCATCAATACAGAAAGCCCACGTCATGGAAATAGCAGACTCACACTTACTCCTGAGGTGGGCTGACTCTGTGCCCTGTCTGCTCTCGTCTTTGATTTTCATTTAGTTGACTTGGCCTTGTCTTAGCTGCCATCCCTACTGTTTCCAATACTACTCCTCCCGTAAACACTTGTGTACACGGACATACCACATACACGAAGCATGCATGTGTGTGTACACACATGTGCACACACACGCGCGCTCTCTCTCACACACATACACACACACACACGAGGATAACTAGTGGAAGAAGAACGAGCTTACACTAATTCTCATGAATGAGCATAGGAACTCTGCCACCAATCAGAGAATACAGAGTCACGGTGACACAAAAAGACAGAGAGCCTTCACTTCCTTCCCCCACCAACACCAAGGATAGCACAGTGCCTGTCTCGTGGTAGACCAGAAGGCCATATTCACTTTGTTTATTGACGTTGTCTTGACTTTTTGCCCAAAGTCCTTGTGAATGGCACCACAATTTTCTCCATGTCTAAACTGAAACCCAATCACTGATGAGCTCTTCAGATACAGCCAGACATCTCTCACTTCAGTGAGACTTTCTCCGGCCACTCACACACTGGAGCTTTGTTCGCTGAAGTGAAGGGGACTCCAGGAAAGGCAGACACAATGGTTCTGTGGGAACCACCATGGCCTGTAACCCAATAGTCGGTGTTTCCTGGACAGAGCTAGGAACTCCTAGGGCGATGATCACATGGCAGCAGACACCAGCTCTTCTTTTCTCCTGATGCTACGCTGTGCACTAGTGCTTCACCTTTAGTCTACAACTGTAGAGTGAGATGAGAAGGAATGTGTGGACACACGCACGACACACACACACACACACACACACACACACACACACACACACGAAGGAAAGCCAGAGAGAAGGAAGTTATGAAGGCGGGGAAGGAAGACCACTTTGGAAGGACTTGAGGGTATTAGTGGAGCCAGGGAAAAATGGGAATGTGGGTCTGACTGGGGGATGCTGTAGTGGATGACTGAAGCTCATGAATCAGTGTTCTTAGCAGTCCTGCATCATGTGAAAGCTAGGGTAGGAGCCCTAGGAGAGATCTCACCTGCTCTGTCTTCTGCCGACTGTGGGGGGCTGTAGGCTGTCTTCTTCTTACTGTGGGGGGGCTGTAGGTTGTCTTCTGCTGACTGTGGGGGGCTGTAGGATGTCTTCTGCCGACTGTGACGGGCTGTAGGCTGTCATCTGCCGACTGTGGGGGGCTGTAGGCTGTCTTCTGCTGATTGTGGGGGGCTGTAGGCTGACTGGGGGGGCTGTAGGCTGTCTTTTGCTAATGACTGTGCAGGACTGCAGGCTGTATGCATGCATGTGGGCACACACAAACACCACACATACAGATGCATACATACGCACACACACATGTGCATGCACACACATGCACATGCTCACACATGCATTTTTATTGAGCATTAAGAGGATTTTACCTTCCTATATTTCAGACCTAGAGAAAAAAGACATTCAAATGACAAAAAGAAAAATAGAAAAGAGAGAGAGAAAAGAGCAAAAAAGATAATTTTGTAACTGGAAAATTTAGCAAATGAGATTGTCTTCTTTAAAGAAACTATGGATTTCCTTGGTTCTATGGTTTTTCTCCTTCCTCATCAAGCAGGAGAGACTGTCTCAGAGGAACCTCTCACAGTGTTTTCTGGTAACTCTGTTTTGACAGATTCCAAAGATAAACAGAGGGTCATCAGTCAGTACCCTTGTCCAAAATCAGAGCCTTAGAAACAGTTCATTCTCGGTTACAATGCAGGTGCTAAGCAGTAACTGGTAATGGTTAGCAGCATGAAAGGGCAGAAGTTCACCTCCCAGCTCCCTTTGTGACCGTGCATTGGGGATTAAGTGGCCGACCCTTCTTCTTAGAATGCCCCTATGGCAAACAAACCAGGGTTCACCCGCTGTGTTGATGAGGATCCTGGCCAGTATGCGACTCTTTCCTCCTCATGTCTCTCAGGACGAGGAAGACTCCTTTGTGATGAAAGCCATCATCCATGCCATCAATGATGACAACGTCCCAGGCCTGCAGCACCTTCTGGGCTCGCTGTCCAGCTATGACGTTAACCAGCCCAACAAGGTCTGTCTCTCTTCTGCAGAGGTGCCAGAGGCTTGCATCACAGACTGTGCACCCAGAAGTCCAAGTTGGGAGGGACCCCGGTTGCTTCTCCAACTCCACCCTGCGAATGGAGCCTCCATTCTGTGGGGAAAATCTTTTCTGTCTAGAGTGATTTGAGTTGCAAATAAGGATGTTTTGCATTGAGGGCCTTCCTTTACATCCTTGAGTGTACATCTGAAAAAGGAGGTGCTTTTGGTCCTTCCCTTCCTGTTCCTCGATCTGGGGCAGGGTGTGGACACAGCAGGCAGAAGATATTGGTGACTCCATAGGCTTTCCCCTTCCTACTCAACCTGAAAAACAGACAGTAGCTTCCTCTTCTCTTTCAGCATGGGACACCTCCGTTACTGATTGCTGCCGGCTGTGGGAATATCCAGATGCTTCAGTTACTCATCAAACGAGGCTCAAGGATCGATGTCCAGGATAAGGTCATAATTCTGTATTATTAAAAACAAATTCTTATCATGGGTTCCCCGCTGTCTTCCTAATCAGATGGGCAGTAAGTGGGAGAGCGTGTATACTTTTGTGATTTCCTATATGGCGCTGCATAGAGAGCCTTGCACAGGCTGACAAGTCCTGGGCAAAGGTGCTCACATTTCCCCCTTCAGGCTCTGCCCCTTTCTCGTGCCTTATGCTTTGCAGATCACATTTACTCAGCAGTGTTACAAGTAATACCTGGAAAAGTGTTTACTGTGTAGTTAATGTAATCAGAAATTCATTAGCCTGTGTGTGCATCACGAATCTGGATATGGACACACATCCTAGTGTAAACAGCGTTGTAAAGGCAGACGTCATTCAGTGACAGCTGATGATCACGACCACGGAGCTCTCATCAGCTGCCATAAAAACTCTAGTTTGTCCCGGAGAGCCATGAGCTCCATCCCTGATCTGACCAAAGGCGGACTGAGAGTGTGTGTGGGAGGGGGCAATAAATTGCAGAATGTGTTTCTTCTCACTGTTTTCTAGATGCTGAAGCATAGCAACTGTTCCCATGGTGTTTCAGCTGTATCAGGTGTTAGGAGTAAGTCAGAGGTGATTAGGGTGCATTGGAGGATGTGCCGGTTCTGTGCAAGCTACATCATTTTGTAGAAGCGACTTGCACACCCATGAATTTTTTCTTTTGGTACCTGTGTGGAGGATTGGATTGGAATCAGTCCCCTGTGGATACTGAGGGTACGGTTAGGAGATCTAGCTAGAGGTTGGTATTGAAAAGGCTTCAAAAAAGAAAAAAGAAAGTTTTGTTTTTACTTTGAAAACTTGCAAAGATAACACAGAGACCCTCTTTCAGCTTCCCACTGAGCCTCCCCTGCTGTTAATGTGGTACATGACCATGGTATAATTACCAACGCCTTGAAACCGAGAAGAGGCTCCTCTGGGATTTGTTACACCACAAGAAGGGAAGCCCTGTGATTCTAATGGGTGCATGGTCCAGGAGTTCTGGATGTGACTCTGCATTGCTTTCCCTGCAGGGAGGATCCAATGCCATCTACTGGGCCTCTCGGCATGGTCACGTGGATACTCTGAAATTTCTCAATGAGAACAAATGCCCTTTGGATGTTAAAGACAAGGTAAGACCGTGCATCTTAAGAGAAACAAGAGGAATTGGGCTACATTGAGTGTTGGCCTGCTTGGTACACCAGAACCCAAAGATAAAGATTGAGGACCACATTCTGCAGCAGGGGATTTAAAGTTAAAGGCTCTTTTTTGTTGTTGTTGTTGTTCTTTTGACTGTGTCTTGGCCCAATATTTAAATCTGAGTTTCTACCTTAGATGCTTCTAACTATTGTTAGGCTTTTGGGGAAACAAAGTATTTAAAGTTGTATGTTGGAGCAAAGTTCACCTCCTGTCAGCAAGGAAGGAGGGAGACAGAGACAAAGAGAGACATCCTCAATGTCTCCTTTATTGTAACCTAACTTCCATTAGCCCCCACCTACTAAAGTTCTATCACTCAAAGCCAGGGGACCAAGATTTTTGCACACGGCCTTCTATGAGTGACTAAGATCTGGACAGCAGCAAAGGAATCCATCACCGCAGTTTGCTGCCAGTTGACAGTAATGTTTTCTGTAGTTAGGGTAGCGTGACCCTGGCAGGTGCAGACACAAGCAAAGCATCATAAGTTATATTTGTTATTCACAGAAATATACCAGGAGCAAATGGCTGTGTTCTCTAAAATCTCGGAGAATGCAATAAATGAGTCTCTGAGCACAAATAAGGCAATGAAAGGAGAAAGTAGTTAATAATTTAATTAAAAAGCTACACATTTAAATAATTGCAGAATGATGAGCCTGACCTTAAAGGGGTTTGTGCGTGTGTACAAGAGTGGGGGAAGGGAGAGTCTTAGTTTCAAGTTGAGCTGCTGAAGTTGTCTGTCCATGAAGGAGGTAAAACATGGCGCTCACAGTAACGGGAACATAGTCTCACCGAGTTGTTTTTAGTGACGAGATGAACCAGATCTGAGTGTGCAGCCCTTGCTGCCTAGGGGCTGCCTGACCCCAGGTCCTGCCCTTCATCTCTGGGTAGCAAATGGAAGGCACGGTCTCTTGAGCGGTTCTGAGTTCTGGTCTTCTTTTGCAGTCTGGAGAGACAGCCCTTCATGTGGCAGCCCGATACGGACACGCGGATGTGGTGCAGCTTCTCTGCAGCTTCGGTTCTAACCCTGATTTCCAGGACAAGGTAGGTCAGTTTCCTGCCATCCACTGCAGAGCACAGGTTCTCAGACAGCACCCTGCACCCAGCTCCCCGTCTAACTTCTTCATTCACCTGTTCTAATCCCCGGGACAGCCTGATATCAGTATCCTTGCTTTATAGGGACGGAAATCACACAGCAAGTTCCACAGCCTGCTCAAGCTGTCTGTGGTGGGACCAGGGATTGAACCCTGCCAAGTCTGGGTTTCAGAGTTCTGTTTGTAAGCACTTCTTTCTCACGGAACCTTGTAGACAGATGTGTTTGATAACGCTGATGGAAGTGCAAACCTTCCACCACCCCCACACATGCCCAAGCTTTGAGGCCAGTGCTTCCTGGACTAGTTACAGAGATGTCATCAAGCTACCTCACAGAATGCTCCCCTGAGCCATCCTGAAGTTAGGTACCTGGCAAAAATCAAAGCCCTGAAATTGCTGGGACTCCTGCTCAGAGGAGAGCTTTCCTGCTAGTTTCAGAGACAAATAAAGAAGAGCAGCTTTGCCAGAAGGTATTCTGAGTTCACCCACGCAAAAGTCTTGCTCTTCAGGGACCTCTAATATGCTGAGAAAGCCAAGTTCACTTAGCACTCCTGCCGAGGGGACAGACTGACCAGGGAAAGCCCTGGGTCTGCCTCTTAACGGCAGCGGCTCCCGCTGGTGTCGTTATCTCAGATTAATTTTTTGCCCCATTGACTGCAGTCTCTGTCCTCCGTGGCCTTGATGTTGCTGCCATCTGCATTTTCCTTCTCTGTACCCATGTCCTTGAGCAGGAAGAAGAAACCCCCCTACACTGCGCTGCCTGGCATGGCTATTACTCCGTGGCCAAAGCCCTCTGTGAAGTTGGCTGCAATGTGAATATCAAGAACCGGGAGGGAGAGACCCCGCTGCTGACAGCTTCTGCCAGGGGCTATCATGATATCGTGGAGTGTCTGGTTGGACATGGAGCTGACCTGAATGCCTCTGACAAGGTACTTTTTTGGGGGTAACTACGTGGCACTCACTGTGATCTGATGGGGTAGAGGGACCAAGACACTTGCCTACTTGAACTTAGTATACTGTGATTTCGTTTCTTTGATTACAAAAATTTCTGGAATTTTCTAGAATCTTCTTTTTGATGTGTAACTAAACTTATGGCTTGAGCAAGCCAGTTTGGCCACTGTTTCAATCTTTTTAACTTTGGTTAACTGTGGAACAGGGACCACATTGTCAAATTTTAGATACATGTTGAAATGGGTGTTTATTTTGTCACTTACTCTTTTGTAAAAAGGCAATAAATCACTATTATTTGTTTTACAATTTCACTTTTAGACCAGCTGGTCTCTTTTTACCTAAGCAAATTCAACACAATCTATTTGAACTTGAACTTAAACAGATACAGTAACAGTACTGTGTACAGTTAGACTGAGGGTCTTATAGTTCATGTAGCAATTGTTTTTTGGGGGCAGTGCCTTGGTACAGTCTCAGTTGGACACAGCTGTGTCCCCAGGGGACTTTATAGAAATATCTGGAGACATATTTTCATTACCAAACTTGGGCTGGGTATTTGCTACTGGAATCTGTTAGATGGAGCTAGTGTTTCTTCTAGACAATCAAAAGTCCCAATGCCAAGAGTGCTGAGTGGAGAAACTCAGGCAGAGGCAATAGAGATGGGGCCCCAAGCTCTGTTTCTCAACAGTGCTCAGCACATCTATTCCCCAGGGATTCTGTACTATTTCCCAGGGATCCTGTACCAGGGTGCTATTAATTCCCTGGCCGGGTTCTTGCATCTGCTTTCTGAGCTTTCAACAGCCCTGGGGGGAATTATTTCTCTCTCTCTCTCTCTCTCTCTCTCTCTCTTTCTCCTGAGGCAAAAGCTTTTAGAGCCTGTCCTGGAAACTCACAGAGATCCGCCTGCCTCTGCCTCCCAAGTGCTGGGATTACGTGTGCCACCACTAGTGGTGTTTCTCACATCTGCTCACAAGGGCAATTGGCACCTACTAGTTACAGCCTACCAGTGCTAAGACAGGTGCAGAATCTTGCTGTCTGACCTTCTCTCTGAGCCTAAATGAATCGGCAGGTGTTCAGCTCAGCTCCAGTTATGCGGAGTGAAATGGATGAAGCCCCGCTTTCCAGGGTCCAGGCAATGACTCTGAAGTTCTCTTGTGTTTGAAGCCACCCTGTTTCCAGCTAAGCCTCGCACAGGGGAGAGAGAGGGCCGAGGGTGGAAACCAGAGCACTCACGGGCTTGGGCTTGGTTCCAGGATGGACACATTGCCCTTCATCTCGCGGTGAGGCGCTGTCAGATGGAGGTCATCAAGACCCTCCTCGGCCATGGGTGCTTCGTGGATTTCCAAGACAGGCACGGCAACACACCCCTGCACGTGGCCTGCAAAGACGGCAGCGCACCTATCGTGATGGCCCTCTGCGAAGCCAGCTGCAATCTGGACATCTCAAACAAGGTACTTGCAGAGGGTGGGATCCCCAGATTCCCACTGGCTGCCGGGTTCTTGCCAAGTTTATAATATTTTCTTGTCATAGCTGAGGATGACGGTCGCTAGGGGACCGTGCCATTTTGAGCCGTGTGACTGTTGAGTAGTTTCCCAGAGTAACAGAAAATTGGGACCTTAACATACACTTCTCGCCTATCCTGGCCTCTCACTTTTGTGTTTGTGAAATGAATGGATGTGCGTGTATGTGTACATGTGTGTGTGCATGTGTTTATGTGTGTGCGTGAACCTGTGCATGTGTACACATAGACATGTGCTTGTGTTTCCAAGAAGAGTTGAAACTCATGGTATAAACAAAGGCCGCTTTCCCATACACACCGTCCTCAGTAAATACTTTCGACGCTGTGTTCTGATCAAGGTTCTGGGTGCACTGTCTTCCTTGTCTCTGATGAGTTGTCTGTGGACAAAAGATCCAAATACAGTTGTGTATGTGTGCATGCATATGCACTATGCAAATTTGGTAAAACCAAAAGAATACTGTCAACTTATAAGTAATAAAGGGGGCTTGAGAGATGGCTCAGTGGTTAAGAGCACCGCCTGCTCTTCCAAAGGTCCTGAGTTCAATTCCCAGCAACCACATTGTAGCTCACAACCATCTGCAGTGAGATCTGGTGCCCTCTTCTGGCCTGCAGGCACACATTCAGACAGAATACTGAGACTACTGTATACATAATAAATAAATAAAATCTTAAAAAATATAAGTAATACAGGAATGAAAATAATTGCATGTTATCAGTCCCTAAAAAGCCCCAAGTGCAGATTCTGGACTGTAGCTGTCACCAGCCATTTCACTGGATCCCACATCGATTTTCAGTACAAAATAAGAACAGTAAAATATTTGTGTAGTCTCAGTGTGTAACTCTGTGAAAGGCAGGCACACTCTCTTCTTAAGGTCATGTTAAAATGAAGTTGAGAAGAATAAATTTAAACTGCAGGAGAGGTCAGTTTATAGGTGGTATATATGCGCCATAGGGCTTTATGATTTTGTTCAAGGTAAAATAATTAATACACGAAACAGCTGGAGAATCGTCTTACTGTTCCTCTTACAGATTACAAGATTAACTGTGGTGCAAATTGAAGTTGGTAATCCTCATATTCTGGGACCCTGTGAAGGCTGTATCCTGGGTCTTCCCTTTAGCTGCTTCTTGCTGTCCTGGTTTTCCTTTCCTCATTGCGCCAAGATAGATATTTGAGTGGCTTAAGAGGGAGGCCAAATGGCCCCAATGGACGTGTGCACATTAGACTTCCTTCAGCCTTCATGCAGGCGGCGCGGTGGACAGCCTGTGCGCAGCATTTGGGCTACACCAGCTTAGGTTGGACAAGGCCCAGAGTTCAGTTCCAATATAAAACAAGAAAAGCATGTCCTATCTTGTGTCTAAAGACAAAATCTTATTAAACACGTCCATTAGAAAGTCCAGCTTTGTTGGGCATGGTGGCACGCACTTGTGCTCCCAGTACCTGTGACGTATAGGCAGGATTATGAATTTGAGGCAAGTCTGGGCTACATGCAAAGAGCTTGTCTCCAGCACAAACATCCACCAAGACAAGTTTAGGTTTCCATGTTTAAAAACACCTGGCCTGGGATGAGGAGAGGCCTGTGGTCCTGTTCACAGCACCACAAAAGTGGACAGAGCGGACACTTGGCTCATTTGGTGGGAACTTGCCACAGTGGTTCACAAACTTGGGTATGCCGATCACACACTGTGCTGGGGCAGCACAGAGGGCCTTCAGTGGGTGATTCTGGTCGTGCGTGGTGCTCATCCAAGGCGAAACCTCGAGTTGCAGAGGGACAGCTTGCGATCTGCAACTTGTCCAGACTTGTGTGGAGCCTTCTGGCTGCGCTTTCGTGTGCTGAATGGCATCACACTGGGGACGGACACGGGAGGAAGCTGACTTTGCTTTATAGAAGCCACTTTTGTAGCCTACCCATCCTGAGAGGTAGTGCTCTAGTGACCCACTCCCATGCTCCCTCTGTCTCCTTGCCCGCTCTTTCCCTGTTTCTGTCCCTCTGCCCTCTTCCCAGTTTTCTTCCATCCCTGACCCTCTCCCCGTATCTTTCTGCCTTTCCTCTGGTGAAGAAGCAGATATTTAAAGTCGTGTGCAGGGGAAAGTAAGTCCCAGCCACAGCTCCCCCCGCCCAAGTCTGTCCAGTCTGTCTTTACTCAGGCCCACACGGGTAGCCATTTGTCAGAGCAGACGTAGCACAGTGGTGTCCGTGCTCCTCGGGCAGGCTGCCATTCCTTCCCCATAGTGCTGTGCTGCTAGATTAGAGTCCTCTGGAGATAAACTTGACCATTCAAATCCTGCTGTTCTCACACCAAGAGGGCAGGGACTTGTCACTCTATGGTGACATTTCTTTCTGCTTAATTTGAAGATGAGGGTGGTTACTTCTTAACCCAGTAGTGTTAGCGAACAGATATGAGAGAAAGTAAGGGCTGACATCAGTGTCACTAAGGTAGAAACCTCACAGGGCACCTCAGCCCGACAGACATACAGACAGACACCACCCACACCTATGACAAGCAATGGACATCAGGTGGGATAGGTGCACAGCCTGTTCTTGCACAGCCCAGGTCCTTGAGGAAGCGAGGATTCAGCCATGGGTGGTTCTACCTTCAGGCTACTTTAGAAAACCAGACTCACAATACAAAGTGGTAAATCCCCTGCCGTCACTGCTGGGGCAGGCATGGGGCAGGCACAAGGTGCTCCGGAAATAGGGGAGGAATCTGAAAGTTTGCTTCTTGGAAGTGACAGATCCAGCTGGATGAAGAGGTCAGGAGAGGCAGCTTTAGACTGCGTCTTCATATGCAGCTCCTGAGGGCTGTGGTGCACACAGCACAGGTATGCAGCTCCTGAGGGCAGAGGTGATGGGAAACGGGAGAAAACAGAGCTGGAAGGAGCCCTGGGGGTCCAGACATGAAAAGCCTAGAGTGTTACACTAAGGAATTTGAATTCTGTCACATCCAGTGCTACACACCAGAGGGAAGTGGTGGCTGAAGGGTTTCAAGTTCAAGGCCAGCCCAGGCTACATGAGACCCTGTCCTAAACTTACTTTATGAGGTTCTTAAAAAGGGTCCATTTCCTTATTGCCTTTCCTTTTAGTCTCTCCTCCCCTGTATAAAACTGTGTGCCCTGAGTTCTCTGCCTTACATTTCATCTTCCACACAGTCCACCCAGATCTGCACAGCTACCTCCTTACCTTCTCACGTTAACTCCTGCAGGTTTGAAAGTTAGGAGTTGTTTTCTAACACCTGTAAAGAGGATGGCAAAACAAAACCCATGTCACAGCTCTGTTGGCAGAAGGAATGCTGTGGAACACTCCTTCCAGCTCTGTTCCCTGCGGGCTGGCTACAGGCGTCACCATGGCCTGAGTAACATTCAGACTTTCCAAATCATGCCACAGACTGAGTTACAGATACAGAAACCCGTGTCAGGAGGATAAGCCAGTAATGGATCGAAGAATGTGATCATGTGTTCGTCAGTTCAGTTGTTTGTCTCCTACCCAATATTCCTAGATGTGAGGTGGGAGGGAAATGCTCTGGTGTGTTAATGGAGAGTGCAGAGCAGGAGGCCGTGGGGAAAAGGCCCAGTGGCACTGAGGGTTTGAGTTTCTGCCACACTCCTCCTATATTAAACACTTGAAATGACAATGTATTGACCCATGTAAAAATAAACATTGTGCAAGCAAATATTCCCAAGATCCAACTGTTCACGTACTCCGTACTGTCTCGCTGATTTTTATTCAGAGCAAACGATTTTGTAATTTCACTGTTGTGCTTGTGGAGTCTCTTAGGCTCCAAACTTAGCAGCCTCTGAGAAAGATCAAACACCTGTGGAGAGGAATCCCCTCTCTTACTCCGTGCATGCTCAGTCACCAGTGTGCATGGTTGCTGTGTCTTGCACTGGTGCTCCCCCTGTGGATGGAGTAGGAAAGGTGCCTCCCTCTCCCCCATTTCACAAGATTATTTTTGAGATGTAAACATTAAAAAAATATTACTTTATGTATTTGGGTATTTTGTCTGCTTATATTATTGTGCACCACACGTGTGCCTGGTGCCCACTGGGGTCAGAGAAGATGTTGGATCCCCTGAACTGAAGTTAAGGATAGTTGTGAGCTACTGTGTGGGTGCTAGATCCTCCGGAAGAAGAGCTAGTTCACTTAACTGTGGACTACCTCTCCAACTTCTGTTTTCAAGACCTTTATTTCTTAGTGTAGAGGCTGATAACTCCTCAGAGCAGACCTGCAAAGACATGTGTCACCGAGAGGAGAGCCGGCAGTCTAATACACCTACTCTGAGTTCCTTGGAGGAGATATTCACCCATATCCTTCAAACCTTAAGATAGCGGCTGTTATCCCTGGGGCTTCACTGTAGCGCCCCAGGGTGCATGACACGCAGTTTGACAACCACAGGCATAAAAGCCATGATAGGCATGGCCTCAAAGCGTCACTTCCTTAGAGTCCCCTCCACAGCCCTTCTCCTTTTGCCTCCCCGGCTCTCTGGATCTGAACTCTATGATGCAGGCACACATGGATGTCTCTTGTCTCGTGCTCTTGCCTCTTGCCTTTCTCTCTGCCAACACAGCAGGGAACTTGGTTACCCTGTGGCTAGCCTCCTCATTTGTCCTTTGAAGGTGTATTTGAAGCTAGTCTTTCAACTTCAGAGTACCTGAGAATGTTCTGCCTGGCAGGCTCGCCTCAGTGGGAGCCAGAACCTCCTCTTTAGTTCTGGTGGGCCCAGGCCCCTTACGTAATGCTGTCTCTCCCCCAACGACAGTGGCTGTGAGCTATGGGCTTTTGCAGGCAACAGCCAAGAGAACACCTTTGGTATTTTCTTTTTCCTCTTCCCAGTATGGACGTACTCCTCTCCACCTTGCAGCCAACAATGGGATCCTGGACGTGGTCCGCTACCTCTGTCTGATGGGCGCCAACGTGGAGGCTCTGACCTCGGTGAGTACCAGGCAGGTGCGGGTGTTTGGCTGCGGAGAGCCATGGAAACTTCTCATGCCTCAAGGGCACGGGGAGAAAGGTATTGCCTGGCAACTGCATTCTAAAGCAGACAGGTTGCTATTAAGCTTTAACTCTCGGCTGCAGTTACATAAACATTTGCCCACACAGACCCAGTTTAATATCTAGTTAATGTTTCATCCTTTTCTCATCTCGCCAGCCCGCTCCGCCAGCGACCCACTGGCTCGAGCTGGCCTTTTGTTTACTGTGTTACACAACCCAACCGTGCTGCTTAACTCTATTCCACGTCTGGATTTCTCTTTCATAAGTGCTTCCCGTTGGCCCCAGGGCACAGGAGGCCCGGTGCCTGTGGGAGGAGCTGGATCCCCTGTGTGACCCTGGGGGTCATGAGCGGCTGAAAGGCAAAGGACAGGTGTCTACAGTTTAGTGTCTGCCTTGCTGCTGGGCCTGAACATTACTTTTAAGCCGGACACAGTCCTTTCCTCTCGCTTCTCGCTTCAGGCTCAGTACCCCAACAGCTTCTCATTTCCCAAAATACCAGAGATAAGAGTTTGGCCAACAAGATGAGGTGGCCATTCAGTTGTGGCCATGAACTATTGCTCAAGTTGCTGCTGGCCCAACAGTGGGTTGACTGTGTGGGGAGGTCTTGACCTTCACAGACCTTAGCTTTGCTGGCAGTCAGTTGTGAAGGCGATCATGTGGCATTTGATGTGGCAGCCCACCTGAGGCTCTGAGGTCGGAAGCGCAGCTCTGGTTCCCCGAGATCTTCAAGGTCTTAACCGAGCAGCCCACGGCGAGCCACATCCATCTTGCTGCTTGTTTTCAGATGACGTTTCCCTGTGGCAGAGCCGCTCTCTTCATTCTCCTTTTGTCTTTGTGCATGCTGGAGAGCCCCAGACACCTGGCGTGATCCGCAGAGTGTGTGTAGGTCTTTGTGGTGCCAGCCACTCTCAGGACCGAACAGTTCTGTTCTCTGCAGAGCTGGGCTCTCTGTAGGTACAGATGTTAACAATGCCCTGTGTGGGATGGGCACGCTTCTCAGGGTATTTCTTTACCCCTGCCGTACAAGGACCTGAGCTGCCCTCATTCCTTTGTCAACCCAGTCTTTACCTACGGGTTAGTGATCCTGCATGCTTAAAAGGAAAAAAAAAATATTTCTTCGACTCAGATGATGCCTCATAGGAAAATCAGAAACAAGGGTGATTTGAAATGCTATCAGCTGTTGGAGCCAGAAATGTGTGTGGCCTCCGGTCTCTTTGTGTTCCTCTGTGAGCCCCTGGTTCTCTCCATTCCCGCTTCTCTGTGGTGTCTGTCTCCTTTGTTCCCCGCCACCGTTCTGCCAGGCCACCTTCTCCTCTGATCCCTGTCTCTTCCAGCTTCTAGAGGGGCTCTTTGGGGTTTTCTGTCCACACCTTATAGCTCCTCGCTTAGCCTCACCATTTACTCAGACAGACATAGGGAAACTTCTAGAACATGAGAGAGGGATGCTGATCAGAGAGTCTTAACAGCTGATCTGGAGTCACTGGGTGAGGCAAGAGTCGGGTCCTGGGAAATTGGTGGAGCTGACCCTTCTGCAGGAGCTAGACATGGAGGATAGCCACTGAGTGATTTTGAAGTTATTAGAGGCTCCAGAAAAGCACCAAATACAGAGTCTTGAGCTGTAAGGATTCCGGGAACCGTGCAGCACTGAGAGCCTCCTGTGGCACCTGGCAATCTAGCCAGGGGAAGGCAGGCCTCTTCCTCTTAGAGCAATGTTGCCTTTGTGTGAGGAGTGGGGTGTCCAAGTGCTGAGGACCTCACCAAAAACGAAGCCCAGACTTTGTTATTGTTTCAGATTCTCTAGCAGCTCCACTAAAAACAACAGATGAAGCAAATTTCAGTAGAGCATCAGAATATCATCTCAACTGTGTTTTAAGATTGTTAATGTCTTTCCTATTGTCTCACCTGTACCAAGTTTTTAGTGCCTTGCGTGTTCTGCGCTGACATCCATTTTTTCTGGACCATATTTCTGACCCTGGGCTGGGGCTGCTGCCCTGTGTGACAGCCATACCAGTAACTTTTTCCCGTTCCTTCTGAGAAGAGTGTCAGAGCAACACTTGGCTCCACAGCGCCTTCTAGTGTCTCTCCTGGTTTTATCTTTCTTTCTTTTTTTTCTTCGCAATCAAGGTTTTATTACTGGTTAGAAAAACATTGCAGCAGTGACATTAAAGAACCCCTCTCCACTCTGTAGTACAGGAATATAGTTTTCCAAGGGTCACTCTGGTGGAGTCTCAACAGTTTTCCACTCAACTTCTTTTCTGCAAATTTTCTCTTCTTAGTTATTGTATTCTTGAAGAGCCTGAAAAAATATGGAACGCTTCACGAATTTGCAGGAATGGTTTCTGAGGGCTCCCGCCCTTCCTCTTGCCTTCCCCCTCCCCGACTCTCCACTGGCTTGTCTTCCTCAACCACTGACTCAGCAGAGGCCCGTCCCTCTAGGAACTTGTCTCTTTTAGTATAAATGAAGACAGATTACCAAAGAAGTGGCTGGGTACGGTGGTGTACACCTTTGATACCAGGATTCAGGAAGCAAAGTAAAGCAAATCTTTGAGTTCAAGGCCAGCCTGGTCTGAATAGAGAGTTCTAGGCCAGCCAGAGCTACATAGTGAGATGCTGTATCAAAAATAAAATAAAACGGTATGTGATCAAAATGATCAAGGCATGTAAGTCATCTGTAGGACCTTTGTAGGTCCACGTGGGCTATGGAATAACTGAAAGCCACCCCAGGGACAGTGGCTGGCCTCCACGCTCTCTCTGATGTAACTCCCTCTGACTTGGTCTCTTCCTCTTACTGCCCAGCAAGTACCAGTGGCTCCTGTTTATCCTTTTTCTTAGTCCTGACCCACTTTTGCCTCCCTACACCTGCCTCGTCTCTGCCTATGCCTGCCTCTGACTCTTTCCCCTGTTCCTGGATACCTGTTGTCCAGCCTTCCTTGTTTTCTCTCTGGGTCCCAGGTCTGCAGCTTCACTTAAACACCAGGCCCTCCTCCACATTTCTGGACCTTCATGTCCTCAGAGCTCAGCCTTGAATGTTACCTTGGAAAGTCTGAGGCAGCCACATCCTGCTTCTTTCCCTCCCAAAGGCATTCCATGCAGAGTCAGTTTGATGAGATGGTGAGGGGTGCAGTGTCCAATAAGGAACCCCGTTCAACCCATAGCCAAGGAGAAGGCCTGGCCTGCCTGTTGGATTCATCTGAGGATTTTAGGGACAGAGTAAGAACAGGGTGACCATGACTTTGAAGCACCCCTCTGTGGAACACACACCTGAGCTGCACCTTCAGCCTGGGTTGAGCGTTCATTCTCAGCCTGGCAATTTTGTTCCCAAGAGACACTTGGAATTCTCTGGAGACATGCAGTTTTCCGGCTAGATGTTATGGAATGTTTCCGGCCCCTTGGCAGATGGCAGAGTGTTGTTAGCCACTGTATAAGGTAGAAAATGGCTTTCCACAGCAGAGAATGACATAATCCAGTAGAACTGAGATTAGGAATTGCTGGGCTTGAGAGACCCCATGAGTATCTCTGGAGTAGCTTAAGCTGAAGAGCTGGGAGTTTGGCAGGCAGACAGACTTTCGGCATTCCAGGCCGCCACAGGATGGCTCGCCTCCAAATGCTGGTAATGAAGCCATAGACTTACTTTTCTTTTGATGAATAGGTGTCTTCATTGACTTGAAAATTGGTTTTTAGGGCTGAATAAAACTTCAGCTCAATGGTTGTGTCCTTCTCCCATGGTGTGTGTGTGTGTGGAGGGGGGTACAACCACAGCTCCTGTCCCTCTGAGGGACCATGAGGTCACTCTTGTGCCTCACTGTGAACTGGATCAGGTCTGGACCAGAAGGTTCCCTGGAGATGGTCCTACCCATGGTATATAAATAAGAATATATCCCTTCATATGAAACCATGGCCCTGTGAGAAGTCTAATTAAACAGTAAAGATCAAAGTGCTGTCCCCACTCAGTGATTGTCAGCCACCAAACTGTGCTAGTCTGTGTTTGGAAGGCACAGTGATTCCCAGCCGTGGCACTGTCTGAGGGCCAGGTCTGTATGTGTTAGAACTGAGAGACATGAGCTGACACTGAAGCGGACACACGTGACTGCTGTGTTAGAGACGGGGCCTCAGGGCAGGAAATCAGTCAGAGAATGAGCTTGCGCTGAGTCTGTGGGTTGAGCATCTTTCTGCCATCCCCGCAGGACATTGATGTGTTCCTTGCTCTGACATCTTTCTTTCCTGGGCCACCGGATAAAATAAGGATTCTCTGGACAGGGAAACAAGCTGGGATATGGTCTTTTACCTGACTTTCTTCTAACCCTGCTGCGCCTGTTTCTTCCTCAAGCTGGTGTGTTTGGGTCTTATGCAGTTCTGCTTTTCAGGGGAAGGGCACTCACTAATCGTCTGTCTCCTACAGGATGGCAAGACAGCTGAAGACCTCGCTAGGTCGGAACAGCACGAGCATGTGGCGGGGCTCTTGGCAAGACTACGGAAGGTGAGCTTCCTTTGAAGTTTTCGGCTTTGTTTTTCTGCGAGAAGTTTTTCTTGTGAGCTATTGGGGGAGGCATCAGGCTTGGGTTTAGGAAGATCATCTGTCCATGTGCTGTCAGTGGGCACACATGCAGAAGCACCCATAGGGTTTCTTCTACACTTGGCTGTAAAAAAATGAATTTGGGGGCTGGAGGGATAGGCTCAGTGGTTAAGAGCACTGGTTGCTCTTGCAGAGGGCCAGGGATCAATTCCCAGCATCTCCGAGGCAGTTCACAACCATCTGTAAGCCCCGTGCTTACAGGAGATCCAACATCTCCTCAGACACCAGGCAGACGCACAAACTAGCTTAGTATTTCCCTTCACTGAGTTAGTTTGGTTTTCCCAACCCTTTCTCTGCTAACCATCCTGTCTTAGCTAGAATTTCTATTGCTATGAAGAGATGCTATGACCATGGCAATCCTTATAAAGGAAAACATTTAATTGAGCTGGCTTGCAGAGGCTTAGTCTATTATCATGGTAGGTGGCATGCAGGCCAACATGGTGCTGGAGAGGGGGCTGAGAGTTCTACATCTTGATCTTCAGGGAACAGGAAGTGAGCTGCGTACCACACTGAGCACAACTTGAGCAAAGGAGACCTCAAAGCCTGCCCCCACAGGGAAATACTTCCTCCAACAAGGCCACACATCCTAATAGTGCTGCTCCCTATGAGCTTATGGGGGCCAATTGCATTCAAACCATCACACACCCCTACAGTGGAGGGGGATACACACTGATGATGTCTCTTTCCCTCTTTTGTTTTGAATTCCCAGCTCCTGTTTATAAAGACATAAAACAAGCAAATACAGGTGTAAGGTCTGCAGCCTGTTTCATGCATCTAGAGACTTCAGAATGCTTAATCCCTTTTGGTTAAGATATCTGTTTGTTGCCAGGCAGTGATGGCGCACGCCTTTAATCCCAGCACTCTGGAGGCAGAGGCAGGTGGATCTCTGTGAGTTTGAGGCCAGAACAGTCTCCAAAGCTACACAGAGAAACCCTGTCTCGAAAAACCAAATTTAAAAAAAGAAAGAAAGAAAAGAAAAGATATCTATTTGTTAACACACAAAGGTATCCACTGTAGTCCTATTTAAAGTGTAGTAGCGAAAATTAGACACATCAGGTCACCGACACTAATGTGTAGCAAATTGTCACAGAGAACGGGATGGTGTTTCACCTTTATGGATGCTTATGAAGAGGTTGTAAGTACAGGAGGTTAATGCTTAGGATGTTTCTAGGCTGAAACAAAGAATAAAAAGATAAATTGTCCTCCCATTTTAGCCCTTACCCTAGGGCTAGAATGTAGCTCAGTTGGTAGAGATCTTCCAGAACATTCAAGAAACCCTGATTTCCATTGCTAGTGTGGAGGGTGCTGCTTACTGGATTTCTCCCTATGGCTTGTTCAGGGTAGCACCACCGACAGTGAGCTGGGTGCTCACAAACTAATCATTCATCAAGAAAATTCCTCACAGATCTGCCGGTTTGGTGAAGGCAATTCCTCAGCTGAGGAGCCCTCTTCTGAGGTGACTCGAATTTATATCAAGTTGGCAAAAACTAAGGAGTGCAGGTGGCCTGGATTCTGGACCCAGCCCCATGAAGCTCTTGCTGGATGAACTGGTCCATTGCTCACCAAATCTATGTTTCAACATCTGTATTTGACCCATGGGTAGAGGTGGCACCTCACAGGATGGTATTTAGGGCCAAAAGAGTTGAGATAAATGTGTCCTGAGGACAGCACCTGAACACATGGTTTCTTTTCTGGTTGGCACCCTGAAGAGCATCCCTAAAGTGGACCCTGGCAATTTTGGTGGCAACCCTGGGGTCATGTAGCTGTTCTGTCATTTTATGTCCCCAGGGTTCACAGAGAAGGTGGGGAACTGGGCCTCAAAGAGACTGAGGGAGGGGTTAGTGGAAAGCCAAGAGCCCCATCTCACACACTGTATCTCCACTTTCTGAATCTCTCTGTGTGCACAGGGCCTATGTACTGTGTATTCCCAGCCAGCATGGGGACATCGCAGTGAGTCTGTGCCAAGAATCCCCCTCCCTGTAGCAGGTCAGATTACTCCCTAGTGCCTGCAGAGAAAGTCAGGGTGTTGATGGCAGTGGCTTGCTGCAGAAGCCAGTGCCTGCAGAGAAAGTCAGGTGCATTTGTTTGCATTTTCTCACTGGGTCACCAGGAGGGGAGACTGTTCAAACAGAGAATGTGGGAGAAGAGGGAAGGCCGCAGAGTGGCCACTGTACCCTTCTGCCTTCTCTGCCACGCTCACCGGGGCATTCCTGGCATTACAGGTGGGTGCAAGGCCTGTATTGCAGACTTATTTTGGTCTCCAGCCTCCAGGCCCCTGTTGTAACCTCTATTTTTCTCTCCTTTCCTTTGTGAAAACCAAAGGTTACCTACACATACCGGGCTGTGTTCCCTGTCTGTCTTAGAGCCACTCGAAGGAGAAGTGGGCCTTGGCCTTCCTCACTTGGGGACAGTCCACGTGGTCACTGCAGTTCTCAAAGGCTCACCCCCTGTGTTTTCACCTCCTAGGAAGGTAGTTTTGCTGTCAAGAAAATCAGGGGATTGACCTATGGAAATAGATCCAAAGCCAGCCTGCCACTGCCACCAGAGAATGCCAGCGTGAGAGCCAGAGGGTCCGTGCTCATCACTAGGCAGTGAGGGCTGATACAGGACCTCAGGAGCATCCTTTCTGGACAGGCTAGGACCACCGGGGGCCCAGGTCAATTCCAGGAGGTCGGGCTGAGCTGTATGGAGTCTGCACTGGTCCAGTTCAATATGGAGGGCTTAGAACATTTGGTTCTTAGTGCATTGTGGTTTGGTGGGCTCTACAAGCACCACAACTGTGCCCTGGCTGCCCCTTGCCAGGGGAACTAACAGGAGGAAGGTATCCCTTTTGTCACATGCATGCGCCTACACACACACACACACACACACACACACAACACACACACTCACGTGATTTCTTCCAGGAAACAGAGCTCATTAGCCTCGCCACCCCACACACCTGAGCTGCACTGTCTAGCCAGGCCAAGTTTCCTCATCTAAATGCAAGGTTGATGTGGCCGCAGGGAGTGGTCTGCTTTCCAATTGTCCTTGAAGTTCATTTTCGCTGCCACCTTTGTCCCTGCGATTTCCATGTTTATCAGACCTTTGGGGACTTGGTTTTCTTGACTGTCTTTTCAGTCAGACTTTCCGTAAATTGATATTAAAAGTGCCCATGTCTAGGCAGAAGTGCTCAGGAATGTTTTGGAAAATGGACAGTGTTGGGAGTTGCCCAGAATTAAAATTCACCAGGAGTGAAGAGCATTTGTATAATTAGGGCCTTACAGCTTCCGCCTCATGCTGGAAGCCGCTGTCTCTTCTCTGGGCTCTTATCTGGCGTCTCCAGATTGCTGGTCGTCTTCCTCTCCAGCCTGTGGGTTTAGTCATCTTTCCTGGTGGGAAAGTGGATGCTAATTTGCCAGGGGAAAAGTTGCTGTAGAAAGAAAACTGTAAACCCAGAGACCTTTTCTAGGTTCAGGCTGTGGTGTCAGGGTCTGGAGGAGAGCCTAGTGGGAGCCATTGATAGCCAGCATGGTGCTGGACTTGGCTGGCCAATTGCTAACAAATGAGTAACTACCTAAACAAGCACTTAAAGCAAGCTCCTCAGTGGTGAGTGTAACCTGTCTGACAACCCCTTCCCCCACAACCACCTGGAAGGTTCCAGATCATAAACCCATACTCCTTAGTGTTCTCTTACCAAATGATGTCCAGTCTGAACAGAGAGAACTCACCCAAACCTCTAGTGCCCTTGGCCTTGTGTGTGATCCAGTCACATCCACAGACCCAAGGAACACACACTGGTGCACACCATAAGACCTGAGAAAGACTGAAGAAACACCATTGCCCCAGCTGGCTACTCCTCCCGGGTACTGGGTGGACAAGCTCCTGCCTGGCCAGTCTAGGTTGGAGCTAGGTCTAGCCTTAGAGTTATTCACTCAGTTAACTATTCACTCTGGTGAACTATAATCGCGCTTCCCGCCAAACCAGTTAACATACATAGCACCTTCTAGAACTGATCTGGAGCCATTCCTTGGGGTAGGAAAACAGTTGATGAAAACGGCCTTCCAGGCTCCTCAGCTTGTCTCTGCTGTGCCATCTAGTGGCCAGAAGTGAAAATGTTCCGACTGCCCATGGAGGGCTATAGAAACCTGTGTCAACTCGTTGGGTTTAGAATCTCCAGGGTTTGAAGTGAGGAGCAGGAGAAATCATCCCGCAGCATGTGGTTAGAGTCCCTCACACATGAGGATGAGGATTTTTTGCTCTGTCTTGTTTTCCAAGACTGCAGTATACTCCTCCCATCCCTGTGAGAAAGTATTCCTCCTGGCTTAAGTTCTAAAACTGCAGTTCTCAACCTAGGGGCCGAGTGACCCTTTCAGAGGGGGTCACCTAAGACCATGGGAAAACACAGGCATTTATATTATGATTCATAACAGTAGCAAAATCACAGTTACGAAGTAGCCATGAAACTAATTTTATGGTTGGGGGGTCACTGCAACATGAGGGACTGTATTAGCCAGTTGCACCGTTAGGAAGGTTGGGAACTACTGCTCTAGAGCCTCCAGGCCAAGGCTGTCATCTCTTGGTGGACAGAAGAGAAGGCATGAAAGGAACCTGGACATAGGCAGGAGGGGGTAATGTAGGATTCCTTCCTTGGAAACCCACTCCAGTCTGATGTCCCTGGCCCCCACTTTAAATGTGAGAATATGTGTTTGCTTGCGTGGTCACCCAGAGTTAAGGGCCTCATATAAAAGCCAAGGTATAGATTTAGCCAAACACTGTCCTCTTTTATAAAACAGGGTGTGTTGAAATCGGTTATTAATTAGCTGGCTGGCATATGATTCAGACATGAGTGACCAGCCCCAGCTCTGGAGGCAGGTGGGCATGCTCCACTCACTGCCCCAGCAGTGAATAGGTTTGCCTCTGAAACAAAGCCACAAAGAGGTGCCAAAGTGACGAGCCACACCCTATAGAAAGATAAGTAGGCAGGGCTCACTTTGCTCACTTTCCTAGTGGTGGTTTATGAATCTTACTAAAGTCTAGAGGCCACCACGGTTACCTCGTGTTTGAGACAGTGCCCCAGTGGGGCTGTCTTCAGTGAGATGGCCTGCGAATGGCTTGTGTGGTCCCCTGTGCCTGAGATTCCGCCTCCTGTCTGTGTGTGCTCCGTTCACCTCCCTTTTACACTCTGCGAAGGACCGAGGAGCCTTTGACACTCCACAGAGGGTAAAGGGTCCAGTAGTAGATTCTGATTTACTCCATGTCCTGTTTCCTTACCTGGCCAAGGGGAGGCGTAGACACAGCTTCTGTATCAGTCACCTGGGAGCTCACGACACTCCTTCCATAAGGCCATCCCACTGATCTAAGAACATCTTGCGGATGGATCCTTCTCTGTAAAATCTCAGACTCAGCATGAAAATGCTGGGCCCTGGGTCCCTGGTGCCCTGGTAGTGATCTAGGGAGTCTGCCATCGCCCCGGAGTTACTGAGCACTCACCACAGGTGCCCATTGGACTGTTGACACAGCAACTCGAGCAGCACAGCTCCAGGGGTAGCAAGGGCTCCAACAGTCTCAATGCATAAAGGCCAAACAGAAGTCTAGACAGGGCCAAAAAGATGGCTTAGGAAATAGAGGTGTCTGTTATCAGCCTGAGGACCCTCATGGTGGAAGGAGAGAACCGTCCCTCTCATGCAGCCTCTAACACGTACGGCAGTGTGCACACAGATAAGAAAGAAAGAAAGAGAAAAAGAAAGAAAGAAAGAAAGAAAGAAAGGTTTAAACACTATATGAGCCAGCCAATTTGTAAGATACTTGTAATCTTGGAAAACTCTGCTCCCCTCCCCCACCCCCACCCCCCAGTTATGTGCAAACGTGCACCTAAGCCCTAAGCTGAGACGACTTCTCAGAAGATTTCTCTCGTGTGTAAACACTGATCAGGTACTCAGAAGTCCTCGGGGACCCAGAATATCCTTCACTGTAGGAGATATAGAGGCACACCTTTCCATCCAGTGCCCAAACACCCTCACGTTGTGGGATCTAAAATACATCCATTTCCCATAGCGCCCAGGAGGGGGCAGTAGTGTCACCAGGGATCTAAAATACATCCATCTCCCATACGTACCAAAACAGGCTTCTTGTGAAGGGACCAGAATTTCCATACAAATAGAAAAAGGCCTGCATATACCATCACAGTGGCCCTCAAGGAACCCCGTCACAACCCAGAAAGGAGCCGCGACAACCCTCTTATGCCATGACGGTACCACCCATGCCCCAGGCTCTCTACACAGAGGAACAGACCCTTAGCTGGTCAGACAGAGTTCATCTTAGTTCATGCCTAAGTTGATGCTTCACAGGTTTTTCCACCCAATTTGTTTGGATCCAGATGCCATGGGAACAGGCAGATCCGGAGACAGGGGACAGAGGTTGCCAGGGGCTGAACAGATTGCAGGGGTAGTGAATGCCAATGGACTGGGAGTCCTGCAATGACAAAGGGATTCTGAGATGGGCGAGCAGAGATGATTGACAGCAAGGGGAGAGACTAGAACCCCTGACGTACATTCTTCAGAACAGTGACTGCATGCTGTGTGTTTTCCTTTAGCTTGGAAACATTTCTGTGGAGCCAGCAAAGAAATATATTCCTGACTAGAGAAGGAAGTACAGGCCCAGGACCAGAAAGCCAAGAACCACGGGGTCCAGTCTGCTAAGAGCTTCACTTTTCCCCTCTTCCAGGACACACACAGAGGACTCTTCATCCAGCAGCTCCGACCCACGCAGAATCTCCAGCCAAGAATCAAACTCAAACTGTTCGGCCACTCGGGGTCTGGGAAATCCACACTGGTGGAGTCTCTCAAGTGTGGGCTGTTGAGGAGTTTCTTCAGAAGGCGCAGGCCCAGGCTCTCCTCCATGAACTCCACCCGCTTCCCTCCATCGCCCCTGGCTGCTAAGCCAACAGGTAGGCGCTCCCCGGGCCACACTTCCTGAGGTTGTTGGGTTTACAGCCTTTAGAGTGAGGTGTGCCGGAGGCAAAGGCTGAGGTTCCAGCAGGTCCTTAGCTACTCTGGAGAAACTCACAGTGCTCCTGAAGTGAGACAAGTGTTGGGGATTCTGAGCTCACACTGGGGTGACTCAGGCTGGTGGGGACTTGACTTTCCAAAGATCCTTACATACACTTCTCACCTGCAGCCACAGCCTCACTCTGTTCTGTGGCTCCCTTGGGGACGGTGGCCGTCTTGATGTGTCTGTACCAGAGAGGGAGGCATTCAGCCTCCTGGGAACAACTCTTGACCACCTGCCTAGGAAGTTGCTGAAGACCCTCAGCCCAAAATAGGCTCTCCCTTCAAGTCTGCCTCCTGTTGCCACTAGAGGGCAATAGTCAACAATGTTTTTTTTTTCTGTGATTTCACAAGCTATAGCTTTTATTTTGCTATAAACAAGCCTGTCTCAGCCCTGTATCCACACCATGAACACTTATCACTAAGACGTAGGAAGAAAAGGCCTCCTGCCAATATTGCCTGTCCTCCTCTGCTACCTTGTGCCCACAGCCAGCTAACCATATCCATTCCTGTTAGGTGGTTGTCCTAAACACGGGTGCTGGGCATGAGACATTCCTGGGGGTCCCCAATGCTCCCGTGAGGCTTGGGAACTATAGAAAGATACACTGCAATGGACATGCATCTAATCCTCCATTCCATAGCCCTCCCTTTCTCAGACCCACCTCTTCCCTCACCAACCACCCCTCTCCTCCTTGCCTGCTTTGGGAACCCCACGTCCTGAGTCCTAACCCTTCATTCTGCAGTCTCAGTGAGCATTCACAACCCACCTCTTCCCTCACCATCCACCTCTCTCCTCCTCCCCTGCTTTGGGAACCCCACATCCTGAGTCCTAACCCTTTGTTCTACAGTCTCGGTGAGCATTAACAACCTATACCCCGGCTGTGAGAACGTGAGCGTGAGGAGCCGCAGCATGATGTTCGAGCCGGGCCTCACCAAAGGGATGCTGGAAGTGTTTGTGGCTCCGTCCCATCACCTGCACTGCTCGGCCGACGACCAGTCCACCAAGGCCATCGACATCCAGAACGCTTATTTGAACGGTATGCCCCACCTACCCGGAGGGAAGGAATTTGGGTTTTTCTTTCACGGGGCTTCAAGTCCTGACCCAAAGGCAGCTTTTGCTAAGCAGTATTTGCTATATCCAAGGAAAGTCCTGTGCAGACTATTGATGGGGCCGACTCAGGCCTGAGCCATAGCTAGCTAACACACTAGAAGCAAAACTACATAGTCGGGCACTGTCAGCACCTAGCAAAACACTTAGCACCCAGTGGGTACTTAATAAGTAGATTGGGTGATTAGTACCTTTTGAAAAGCAGACCCCCTGCCTGTATAGGTGGGGATCTAATGATGCACACAGCCCCTCATGGTGATGAAGCAAGTTTGAAAAGGCGATGTTTTACACAATGACATCATGGCTAACACCGGCATACACGTGGAGAATTCTTTGAGTGTTTTGTTGTTGTGTTTGCTTATGAGACCCAGACTTTCATGCAACCTAGGAGAGCCTCAGTGTAGCACCCCAGACTTCTACCTTCCTCTACCACCACCTTTCAACACTTCCCCTCTTAGTACCCCACACTGCAGAGTGGGGCACTCCTGCCAGGTCTCAAGTAGAAAGCATCATGGCAGGAGAGGCCGCATGCTGAGAAGAAGCCAGAGAGCTGGGATGTGGCCAACCTCTCTTTATAATAACCCACTCTCAAGGCGCTAAAGTTAATGAGGTGTTAACATCTACCTGAGGGCCTCGCACATGACCACCTCCCATCATGCCCCAGGCTCTGCCATTCCATCAGGTCACTGGGGATGCAGCCTGCAGCTCACAGATCCTCAACAGGGACAAAGACACAGGGATGGGCACGCCCAGAGGGCGTCGGGAGGGATGTGTGTGACAGAGCTGCTGTCCTGTCTGCCGTGGGAGAATTTCAGAAGATAGCAGGGTGTGTCCAACCCTTCAACACTGTGGCAATGACATCATTCACAGGTGTGTTGAATCACATTCCTAGCTGTACTGGAATGTGGCCCACAGACCACAGGTTAGACACACTGGTGAGGTCCTGTGATTATCTTAGTGAAAAACATCACATTACCTAAAGCTGAGATTATCTAACACCAGTTTAAATGGGACACATTACCTGAAGCTGTGATTATCTAACACCAGCCTAAATCACCTGAGATCTGTAACAGCATGGACTGCTGGGTCCCCAGGGCTTCCCCAAGGGCCCAGGTCTAAGAGCTCCTGATCCCAATGACTGGGATTAAAGTCCATGTCCCCCCCCCCCCCCCATTTTAAACTGTGTTTTTCCCCAGCATCCCTGGACAGAGCTGGCCTGGCAACATGAAGAAAGGAGGCGCTCATATCTGGGACTCACTCAAAATCCCCACCACAAACCAGGACTCCAGTGCTGAAAGTTCTATTTCTGGTCTGAGAACTTTCCATACTATGCTGAGCCTCCAATTACAGGGTGTGTGTGTTCTGCGTGTTTGGCTCATTCTCCTGTGGAATCTGACAGGACTGATCTCTTTCCATGATTGGCTCTCACCCTCTTTATATAATAATATGAAAGGGGAGAGAAAGCAAAAGTTTGTTTGTATACACGCACTTCCATGTCTGCCTCTGGCCCCACATGCCTATAACACACATATATCTGCCGGCAATTTGGAGTAAACATACAGTAGATACAGCCAAGGCGATCTTAATGAAAACCTTTAGGGGGGTCATGTAGGCGTAGATGAGAGGGATAGGCATAGAGCACTGGACAGGGACCTGTGCAGAAGTCGCTGTGTCCTTACACAGACACATGCTGCAGGTGTCACAAGCCCTGTGCAGAGTCCCTAGAATGCTAACAGCCCCTGAAGTTAGGTGGGATGTTTCCTGATTGCAGCCTTTGCTTTCTTTCTGAAGGAGTTGGTGATTTCAGTGTATGGGAGTTCTCTGGGAACCCCGTGTACTTTTGTTGCTATGACTACTTCGCTGCCAACGATCCCACATCCATCCATGTCATCGTTTTCAGTCTAGAAGAACCCTACGAGATCCAACTGAACCAAGTGATTTTCTGGCTCAGTTTCTTGAAGTCTCTGGTCCCAGTTGAAGAACCCATAGGTGAGCAAGGTCCTTCCTCCTCTGCCTCTGCAATGCTTCTCTTGGGGTCCTCGTGTTGGCCGCACTTAGACCCTACAGAATGGGACTCCCAGCTCTGACCTCCTCCCAGTTCTGAACCATCCCTGGTAGCCCCTTCTCACCCCTGCTGCACTTCCTCACCAAGGTCTTCATGGCTGAGCGCACTGTGGAGTCCTCCGTCCACGGCTCCTGCTCCCTTCTGGAAAGTACTGGTGCATCAGCAGCAGAAGGGGTTATCTTTCCATCTGCGGCCCTGGTGAAAAGGCCCAGGCAGCCTGCCTCATGACGTTGGCTAGGGGGCTCGGCCTCCAACAGGAGCAGCTGTCCCTGGTTTGGGGTGATGCTCAGCAGCCATATTCCTTCGACCGAAAGCCCAGGCTCATGACATCAGCAGGGCTGATCTCCCAGGGGACGTAGTTTTGCCTCTTCTTTCTCCTTTGCCACATCTCTTTTAAAACACTCCTGTGAGCAGAGGCCTTGCCTGTGTGAGTTGGAGACCACTTGTCTTTGGCTTTCTCCAGTGTGTGGTTTCATTCAGAAGGCTTTTTTTGTTCCCGTGAAAGCTGTCTGTGGTTGCAAATGTCTCCTTCACATGTGGTCTCTTTAAGGGAGCCCCCAAGAGCAGCTTTTTGTCCTGCAGTCTGCCCTTGTCTCTGCTGAGAACTCTAGCGGAGGATCAGAACCAGAGGCCGTACTCCCTAGTCCTGCCCTCTAGCCTGTGGGCAGGTTGTATGTCACCTGCACAGGGGGTCTAGGCAGGAGGCCAGCACATTGCCTTTGGGGCAGGAGAAACCAGCCAGGGAGGAGATCAGACTCTCAAAGGGTACACTTTCTCCCTCAGCTTTTGGAGGCAAGCTGAAGAACCCACTCCGAGTTGTCCTGGTAGCCACACATGCTGACATCATGAACATCCCTCGGCCTGCTGGAGGCGAGTTTGGATATGATAAGGATATATCCTTGCTGAAAGAGATCAGGAACAGGTGAGCGCAGCCCACAGGGGTGGGGGTGGGGTGGGGTGAGCATCTGGGGGGATGGGGTGAGCATCTGAACAGGGGAACTGGGTCGGGTGAGAGGATGCAGCAGAGAACATGTGGCCCTGCTCGGGTGGGGTGGGGTGGAGCGGGTGAAGGAACTTCCCCCTTTGTTAAACTTTTCATTTTCATCAAAGCAATGAGTACTAATTACACAGGTCATACAGCTGTTATACGCAAACAGAGCATGGTAAAAGGCCACAGGCTGCTCTCACCTTCTCACCCAGTACCTCCACACAGAGGTGGCTTCTGTTCTCAGGCTTTCGGAATTGACATGGGTAGCAGCACCCTGGTCAATATTTCCCAACATGTCAATTGCAGGTATACACTGGATTATAACATTACTTAGGTTAACGTCCAAGCTACATCATGGAGTAGGTTGGGATGGGATGGAACAGAACAGAATAGAAAAGATCCGAGTGCCTTCCTGTTGAGTATTATCATATAAGACCCTTGTTTCTCTTATAAAGAACTGGACGTAAATATAAGTTTTTACTTAGAATCTGTTGGTAATTTTTATTGCTGTAGCGATACACCTGAAGTTGGGTTGCTAATAGAAGAAGATGCTCTTAGCTAAGAGCTTAGGAAGCAAGAAGTCTAAACCCCATTTCGTCAGTCCTGTGAGGACCCCTTGATCACATCACTTCCTGGTGTTTGGCATCATGGTGGACAATGTGTAAGGATAGGAATTCAGGGAGGGAATTTGAATTAGGCTCTCTTGACAGTTCACAGATTTTCTGGAAGCTACCGTAATCCTTGGCACGGCAGCACCCCTGAAACTGCAGTGTTCAGTTAAGCGTGATTTCTTAAAGACCCCATTAGACACATCACCTCCCTGGGGACAGAGCCTCTATAATGGAGGCACCCCTGGAGGACAGACCACATTCATTCCGTACCGTGTTCCAAGGCTCTATGAGCAAGCGTAAACTTGGCAGCTGGAGAGATGGCTGCTCTTCCAGGGTACCTGAGTTTGGTTCCCAGCACCCACACATATAGTTCACAACAGCCTGTAACTCCAGTTCTAGGGGACCCAGTGCCCTCTTGTGCAGGTGGCACACACAGAGAGACATGTAGTAATATGAGCGGCAGGGCTGCTTCCCACCACCCGGCTAGATTTATACCCGAAATAATTACACGGACACTGTATTCTTTTAAACACTGCTTGGCCCTTTAGCTCTAGCACTTACAGGCTAATTCTCACATCCCGATCAACCCATCTCTAATAATCTGTGAGAACCGGTCTTACCGGGAAGATTCTAGCCTAGTCCATCCTGGGTCGGAGCTTCATGGCATGTGTCTGCCCGGGAGCGGGGCATGGTGTCTCTGCTCCAGCGAGCAGAGCTGTCGAGTCTGAGCTCACTTCCTCTTCCTCCCAGCGTTCTGTTCTGTTTACTCCTCCCACCTATCTTCTAACCAATAAAATGGGCCAAGGCAGTTCCTTTATTAGCCAATGACCTTCCTCCATCATTTCCCCTTTTTCGGTTTAAACAAAAAAAAAAGCTTTAACTTTAACATAGCAAAATTACATATAACAAAACAGTTATCAAGTAAAAGTTACAATAATCTTTATCATAACTAAGGAAAACTATAACTATAACTAACTATTCTTAACTCCATCAAAGACTCCAGAAAGATACAATACTACGTAAGCAAACAAGAAAAAAGCAACTTTTAAAACTCTAGAAATGACAGAGACATCTCGCTGCCTGGACAGTCACCCAAAGTTCCTCTGTACCGTTGGGGCATCCATCTTCAGCCTTCAGGCCCATGGTATCCAGTAGACATTTCCATAAAGCAGGAAAATTCAAAGTCAGTTCAGTCACTATCTGTTGTGTCCTGCAGAATGTCTCGCAGACTCTTTCATGAATCAGGAACCCCGAAAGATCATCTCACCTTAGGCAAGTTCAGTAGTCCTCTCTCTGTGGGTTCTCTGTGTCCAGTTTATGCAATAGTCCAGGCAAGAGCAGTTTCTTGCCCAAATGGCTATCAAACTCCATAACGAGCCTCTTCGATGCCCATCTTCCTCTTGAAGTAGATTGGTGCTGCCAGGAGCAGAGTGTCTCATTGTCATGAAAAGTCCTCAGTTATATATTTCTTAATTATACAGTACATATTTAAATGAACTACACAATCACAATACCTTAATCAAAATCAGAAACACTTACATATATAACAAAATTGACCTTAAATCTCGATCAATAAAGCAAAATCTATACTAATGTAAATTATTCATATCTATATCATATCCCCCTTTAAATGTAAAAGGACATTTATAAACCATATTTGGGAACATGGGCGCAGTTTTTTGTCTCCAAACTGCTTCCTGCTGAATGGGGGCGTCGTTAATTAGGTCTTTCATGGTATAACCTGTGTGCTAGTTTCATCTCAGTTGGCAGTTGAGTGAAGCAATTTTCTGAAGATGTTCACAACATCCCTTCAGGAGGGCGTGGTCCATCATACCAAATCGGAATAAATGCAATCCACAAGGTCTGATCCTCTGTGAAAACAAAATAAGAAACTCCTTTCCAAAGCATCATGTCCTTAGATCCAAATTTCAATGTCAAGGCATCAAAATATCTATGTTTGATTAGTTCAGCAGCATTTACAAATAAATATCTTTTAGCAGCTGTTGCTCCTTCCTCAGCATTCAAACAATTCAAAGAGAGCATAATAGCATACAGTATCAAGATTCTCTGTGTATTTTCCATCTTTGTTCGTTTTATTTTAACCTCTATTTTGTTTATTTTTACTTTTAACTTTTTGCTTTTTGAGATAGGTTCTCTGTATCTTTGACCTGAAGTAACTCTGTAGACCAGGCTGTCCTTGAACTCTCAGAGATCTGCCTGTCTCTGCCTCCCAGGCATTGGGATTAAAGGCGTGTGCTACCACACCTTGAAATCACAGAGGTCTATCTCCCTCTGCCTACCAAGTGTTGGGATTAAAGGTGTGTACCACATACAACAACTCTCTTCCTTTTTTTTTTGTTACTTTAAGAACTTTAAATTTTAGTCTGCATATATTTTTAACACACTTCAAACCATTTAGAAATTTTCTTTGTCTTTGAATCTCTCTTTACTGTATATCTCTCTTTTTCTGACCACACGAGCCTTTAAATTACTGAGCAATATGGGTAGGATTAAAGGCGTGGCTTTGCCAGCTAGATCCAGTCCATTCCTTAGCTTTCCAGCCTCTTGGCTGAGGTACTGGCTGTAGGCATGTTTACTGCCACAACTCTATGGCATTTCAAGGTCCTTGCCAGCAAGCGAGCTTCAGCAGCCTGTGCTTGCAAACCACACGAACCGCCTGCGTAAAAGAGTCAGAGTTTGCCCTGGCAGGACAGCCCAAAAAGCCGGCATTTTTAAACGGCGCAGCTTTTTTCCTGCTACGGCTGAAAACCAAAAAGCATGCGTTCAGCTTTTCGTCAACACCGTTTAAGTGTTTCGTGGCAGGACCTCTTAATGAGCTGCAGGGTTTTGCAGCTAAAGCTGAGTCAGGAAGCTTCTCTTAGATGAGAGCGCTTTCTTGCCTCTAGCAAGCAGAATGCACCCAAGAAATTGTTGCTATCCAGAAAACATGCTTTACTCTTTCCCAAGCCTTTTCAGGCTTTCTGTGGATTCAGTTGTCCACGTGGGCACCATTTGTAGTAATAAGGGCGGCAGGGCTGCGTTCCCAGCACCCCGGCCGCCTGCCTGGCTAGCTTATGCCCGAAATAACAACACACAAACTGTATTCATTTAAACACTGCTTGGCCCTTTAGCTCTAGCACTTACAGGCTAATTCTCACATCCCGATCAACCCATCTCTAATAATCTGTGAGAACCGGTCTTACCGGGAAGATTCTAGCCTAGTCCATCCTGGGTCGGAGCTTCATGGCATGTGTCTGCCCGGGAGCGGGGCATGGTGTCTCTGCTCCAGCGAGCAGAGCTGTCGAGTCTGAGCTCACTTCCTCTTCCTCCCAGCGTTCTGTTCTGTTTACTCCTCCCACCTATCTTCTAACCAATAAAATGGGCCAAGGCAGTTCCTTTATTAGCCAATGACCTTCCTCCATCAGAGACACATATACATAAATTTAAAAAATGAATCATTAAAGCCTAAAGTTTGACATTGCAGTTTTTTGTAATATGCTGGCACTCAGATCTTGAATTATAATGAGAGATACAGCTGCTTTCCTCCTGGTGTGAGAAGAGGTCTATGTGAATAGTTTTAGAGCCGCGGTGTGACTTTCTTGTCCTGTTTGATCTTAGCCTTCCCTCAGCAGCATTTTCTGCTCTTTGCAAAGTAAACACCCGAGCCTCTGCATCAGGAGGCTCTGACATCTTTCTGTCTTTTCTTCTACCTTCTCTTCTTCTACCCGCTTATATGATTGAAAAAGCACACTGATTTCCCACGCACAGCATCCAAAGGGACCAGCAGAGTTAACCTAACAGCAGGGACAGAGAGCGTGTTCGGGGTCACTAGGGTCCTCCCTGCTTCCCTCCCATCAGCCTCTGGGGCTAGTGGCTACCCAGCCACTGCACGGGAACACCGAAGGTCGAACCGGAGCTGATGTGGCTCCTGCTTTGTCCATAGGTTCGGGAATGACCTCCATGTCTCAAATAAGCTGTTTGTGCTGGATGCGGGTGCGTCTGGGTCTAAGGACATCAAGGTTCTTCGGAATCACCTGCAAGAAATACGGAGTCAAATTGTCTCTGTGAGTACACATGGAGAGACCTGGACTCCACCGTGGAGACGCCAGCCTTGACCAAGGAGTTGACCCCACTGTACTGCCCTCACTTTGGTTTGATTTTCTGGGGGATAGGCTGGCAGTAGGAGCCAGGACTAAGGTCTGTATGCAAGTGATGTCCTCCTGTTACTCTGGGGGAGGCAGGAAGAGAGAGAAACAGACAAGGCAGTAGACGGAGGGTTGTTAGGGGCAACAGCCACCACTGCAGGATGTATCAAGTTCTTTACATATAACATCTCCTTTTATAAATTACACCAGCAGTTTTAGTCTGTTTGTTTTAGTATGTGTAACAAATTCAGAAAAGAAAAATAACCACTAACAAAAGTAACCAAAGGATGTGTGCTGACAGACGAGACCATATTAGACTGAGTTCACATCGTGGGTAAAATAGGAAGGGAGCGTTGTATTTTCCCCAAATGTAATAGAGTTCTACCCAGATTCTGAGTAGGGCGGAGGACATTGGGATGTTCATCTTGAAATTGAAATGGAAGAAGACAACAGGTTTCACAGGGTTATAATTAAAACCGCTAAGAGCAGCTTAGACATTGTCCTCAGAGGTCACAGTGTCCACAGACATTCGCTAGCAAACAGAGAAGCTGAGCCAAAGAGATGGCTGAGTCTGTAAGTGCTCCCTCTGTGTACAGCATGATGTCTGAATCCCTAGAATCCTTAGAAAAGCCAAGCATGTAAGGGCACACGTGTACCCCAACCCTGTGGGAAAGAGGGGGGGAGGTTAGAGGCAGGAGGATGCCAGAAGCTTGCTGGTCGGCTGCTTTGGTCAGTCAGTGAGTCCCAGGTTCAGTGAGGGACCCTTTGTCAAACAATGAGGTGGAGAGCGATTGAGGAATACTACTGGCATACACGTGTGCACAAGCGTTGCGAGCACATACAAGAACACATACATGTATCAAGAAGGGGGGAGAAAGAAAAAATATTATTTCATTTTAACAGAGAAAATGTGACTTAATAAACTGGCAAGTGGGTTGTCTGCTTGGGATGAACTAAGTTGGATGATCCCCAAAGTGGGTGACTCAAGCTTATCCGTGCACACATGTAGAGTAATAAATACCATGATGGGAATTCTGGAGAGTGTTTTTAAAATAACTCGGAACTTGGAGACTCCTTCTAAAAGTTTTCCAAGGAATTGTACCCCTTTGAAAACCAGTCTGTCTTTCCTCATCAGAGAAAATCGTGCAGTAGAAAATAATGCATAGAGGAGGGAGGTGTCTGTGCCTGTGACAGATGGAGGATTCCCTAGAGAGAGACAGGAGTGCCATGGTGGGAAGGGCTGAACCAGCCTCAGGGAGGTGCCCAGTGCCCTGAGTGAATGTGCACTCGTCTCTGGCCCAGTGGTGCAACCCTGTACTCTGTGTCCTCTTCGGACATCCCTGCCTCCCATAGCAAACACACCAGCCTGTGCCTCACAGAGCCTTGCCTTCCTGTTGTGGTGGCACCGTGTCTCAGTCGCCATATGGGGGTGGTCTGGAGGCCTGGCCCCACAGATGGGGACAAATACTCGGGAAAGAAACCAGGTCTCCTCCCAGATCTGAAGCAAGGCGCCTGTCCCTCGTGCACAGGACGCCTTTGAATTCTCTGGGCGTGACTCTGTCATCACCAGCCACCCTCCAAGTCCAAATGAACTGTCTCTATCCTGGGCAGTTTTTCTTTTTCTTTTAAATTGTGTTCATTTTTTTCTATTTTATGTGTATGAACGTTTTGCCTGCATGTTGTTTTCGTTCACAAAGATCAGAAGACGTCAGATCCCCTGGAACAGCAGTTATGGGAGGTTATGAGCCACCATGTTGATGCTGGGAATGGAGTCCATTCCTCTGCAAGAGCAACAAACTCTCTAAACCCCAGAGCCATTTCTCCGGCTCCCAGTTCTGCTTTTTTTTTTTCTTTTTTAAATGAGGAGCGCATCTTAGGTGACATAAGATGTGATTTTTGTGTCACTAGTAGTGTGACACCTCTGTGCTGTGTGGCTTCCCGTTAGGAGGGTGTGGGATTATATGAATGTGAGGCATGTTATAGCTTGGCTTGTTTTACCACCTTGGCTATCAAATCCCTCGTGCCTGATTATTAGATGATGCCTAGAGACAACCCTCGGTTAGCGATAGAGTCCTTCACTGAGTCAATAAAGCGCTGACTTCTCTGGGTATGCACTGCGTGGATAAGTGATGTCTCTCCTGGGCTCCCAGAATGTCAGCTGCACAGCGGCTAATCTGTCCCACCTGCCTGTGTAGGGCTGCCCTCCCATGACTCACCTGTGTGAGAAGATCATCTCAACGCTGCCCTCCTGGCGGAAACTCAACGGACCCAACCAGCTGATGTCGCTGCAGCAGTTTGTGTATGACGTGCAGGACCAGCTGAACCCCCTGGCCTCTGAGGATGACCTCAGGCGCATCGCGCAGCAGCTGCACAGCACGGGCGAGGTGAGGGCTGAGGGTGGGCGAGCTCCCGCTGCTAGAGGAGAAAGGACCCTGCTACCTGTGGCTTCTCATCCCACAAGGCTCTCTTCACCCTGCCAAGTGGTCGGAATCTGGGCCTGGTCTTTCTGGGTTTGAGGCTCTTTTGAGGGCTTGAACTAATGGCTCGCCTGATTTACCTACATCACAAGAATAGTTTTCTGAAAGCCAAGCAGCAGTGCAGATCAGAAGGAAACACACTGACCAGACTGACAGCAGGTCACAGGTGAGGGTGGCCAAGAGCCTGGCTCTTCTTTATGTAAGTCTGCTTACAAGGAGCAAGGTTTGGGAGGTTCTCTATTTTAATTGACAGGTTTAGGTTATGTAAGCTTTGGCTCAATGTGAATGTCCCTTCCCATGATGCACCTGATTTTTGTCATGTGCATGCCCAATTATGCATAGGTATAATATGATAAATGAGGCTTTTTTTTCCTGACACAGTTTTTCTTATTGTTTTTGCATCAAAACTGGTTCAGGCTGGGTCTGGCTCTCCTACTATTACACCCTGACTTGAGTAGATTGAATAGAATATGTTTGATGGTTGTTAAAAGGAGAGACTTATTCCATTGTTCAGTGTGTGTGTGTGTGTGTGCTCGTGTGTGTGTGTGCATGCATGCCTGTGCATGCATACACTCATGTATGTGAGTAGTTTGATAGACATTGGGGTCCTAGAATGTTAACAGACTGCTAGGTGTGTTGTTTGGAGTGGAATGTGTGTGCATCTCAGGCTAACAGTTGTATTATTAGAAGCGAGATGTATGCAAAGCTCACAACAGATAGGAGCAATTCCTTTCTATCAACGACTGGTCTGTTTTCTTTGGTTTGCTGCTGTCTTCTAGGCCCCATTAGTTAGCACTCTTGTCCTGGGCCACTGGGTCTCTCTTGCCCCCTCAGCCACCTACTAATTCCCTTTTCCTCCTGGCAGCTCTAGGCTGGCTGCTGTCAGGGAACTGAGAGGCCCTGGCTGTGGACATAGTCCTGGGGTGACAAATACTAAGAAAAACCCATGAGGTGCCATCATGACAGTGTCTGTGGACAGGAAGACACTCTAAGTCAGGACCCCTCAGCAAGCACACCCACCAGAAATGACAGAAATTGACTCTCAACTGCATGGCACTTAGCCCAGTATGGAAACCGTCCTGACTGCATCCTGCATGCCTGTCCCCAGAAAATGGGGGCCATTGCCTCCTCCTTCCTAGGAAGTCTAGTGGCCACATGAGCTAGGCTGTGTCCAGAGCAGCAGCAGCAATTATTAACAATTAAAAGCATCTGGGGATATCGAAAACCGCTGAGGTCATTGGTTTTGTCAGCTTGCATTTGTCTGAGTTGTGGGGTGCCACCTCAAGGCTTCCATTTGAGTGGTGTGGGTGTCATGTCAGGGTCTGCGTTTGTCTGAGTGGTGTATTCTTGAAACGAATACTGAATCTAGAGCCAGTGGCCCGGAAGGACCTCAAACAGTAAGGCCAGCTGATTGGCTGACTGACTAGGCGTAATGTAAAGTAACCGAATGCAAGGAAGAAGACAGGAACAGGGTGAAGGCATTTAGATGTTTAGACATAAAAGGTGGCTTTCCCATGAGAATAAACTTTCTACTTTGATAGGATACTCTTACCTCCTAGTTTTTGACCAGACATTTTCAAAGTCGCGATGTAGGATCTCCTCTCCCCTTGACCCTGAGACTTTAGGAAACGAAGATGGAAGAGAAAGAGAAAAGGAAAGGAACAGAGATGGAAGAGAGAGAGAAAAGGAAAGGAACGCTCGTGGTGGGGCCAGTTCTACGAGGCTGAATCCTTAAGTCTGGTTATGAACTACTAGCTCCTTAGGAGGAGAGAAGTTAGTTAGGGCGAAATGGTAAAGGTAAAGGCCCTGTCTCCTCTGGAGAAGTTAAGTCTGAGGCTCAAACATGAAGTCCCAAGAAGCTGCACTAGGGCAGTGGCGCCCCATGGCCAGCAGGTGGAGCCAGAGGCACCTGCACTGAAAGCCCACCTGGGAACGCCATTATTTTTAGACTAACCTTTAAGGGCCAGGAAGGAAAAGGTGAATTCTGGCTTGGCTTTGCTTTTTTTTTTTTTTTTGTATATACACACACACAAAAGTTTTTGTTGTTGTTTTTAAGTGTCTTTAAGCCTTATATTGTTTTAGTATGTTAGTTGCAATTTTCTAGACCTTTTCTTAGAAAGTTCTATCACTATGGAAGCTAGGCATCATGGGATATGCTTGTAATCCTAGCCCTCAGAAAGCTGAGGCAAGAAGATGAAGAATTCAAGTCCAGCCTGGGCCACACAGTAACAAACAGAAAGATACTACCACAAAACCACGCCTTCTCAACTGGCATTGAGCCAGTCTTTATATTCTGCTTCCTTTGCCTCCTTTCTCTCACCTTTTAAAATTTATTGTGCCATACTTCATTGTAAATCATTGCCTGTCTCCATGCAAAGCTCAGCAAAACACATGATCACAGTCCTGTGTTCATATGTACACAGCCCTGACTCAGGACAGTGGCTGAGTTTACGGTCTTCGTCCAAGGGTCTCCATTTGCCCGGTAATCTCTTTTGATAGCTTCCTTTATTAATTGTGGGCTTTCCTAGACCCGGGTCCCAGCAGAAGCCAGTCCTTTTGTCTTCTCGTCTCACTTTCTTTCCTCGTCTCCCGCCAGTGTTTATTTCTTGCTTTGGGTTGTTACTACTTTCACCTCCGTCTTTACATACTTTGGATTTTTCCCTCCATGGGCCACGTTTCTGGGAAACGCCCCTCTGATGTTCCTGAACCACCTTAGGGCAGGGCTCAGGGGTGGCTTTAGAGATGGATCCACGCTGCAGAGTGTGGATTCCCCCTCTGGCCCGGGTGCCCTTTCCCTCTGGTGACTTTAAGTTGTCGCCTCCGGCAGATCAACATCATGCAGAGTGAGACGGTCCAGGACGTGCTGCTGCTCGACCCTCGGTGGCTCTGTACCAATGTCCTGGGGAAGCTGCTCTCCGTGGAGACCCCGCGGGCCCTACACCATTACCGGGGCCGTTATACCACGGAAGACATACAACGCCTGGTCCCCGACAGTGATGTGGAGGAGCTACTACAGATACTGGATGCCATGGACATCTGTGCCCGGGACCTGAGTAGTGGGACTATGGTGGATGTTCCCGCTCTGATCAAAACAGACAGCCTGCAGCGCTCCTGGGCGGATGAGGAGGATGAGGTGATGGTGTACGGTGGGGTGCGCATCGTCCCCGTGGAGCACCTCACTCCCTTCCCCTGTGGCATCTTCCACAAGGTTCAGGTCAACCTGTGCCGGTGGGTCCACCAGCAGAGTGCCGAGGGTGACGCCGACATCCGCCTGTGGGTGAGCGGCTGCAGAATCGCCAACCGAGGCGCCGAGCTGTTGGTGCTGCTGGTCAACCACGGCCAGGGCATCGAGGTTCAGGTGCGTGGGCTGGAGACGGAGAAGATCAAGTGCTGCCTCCTGCTGGACTCGGTGTGCAGCACCATCGAGAATGTCATGGCCACCACCTTGCCGGGGTTGTTGACAGTAAAGCACTACCTGAGCCCCCAGCAGCTGCGGGAACACCATGAACCGGTCATGGTCTACCAGCCCCGTGACTTCTTCCGCGCTCAGACCCTGAAGGAGAGCTCCCTTACCAACACCATGGGAGGGTACAAGGAGAGCTTCAGCAGTATCACCTGCTTCGGGTGTCACGACGTCTACTCACAGGCCAGTCTCGGCATGGACATCCACGCGTCAGACCTGAGTCTGCTGACCCGGAGGAAACTGAGCCGTCTGCTTGACCCACCCGACCCCATGGGGAAGGACTGGTGCCTTCTGGCCATGAACTTGGGCCTCCCAGACATGGTGGCCAAGCACAACATCAGCACCAGGTCGCCTAGGGATTTCCTTCCCAGCCCAGCGCATGCCTTGCTGCAGGAATGGACCTCCTACCCCGAGAGTACGGTCGGCATCCTCATATCCAAACTCCGGGAGCTGGGGCGCCGAGACGCTGCCGACTTCTTACTGAAGGCCTCCTCCGTGTTCAAGATCAACCTTGATGGCAATGGCCAGGAGGCCTACGCCTCAAGCTGTAACAGTGGCACCTCATACAATTCCATTAGCTCGGTGGTGTCCCGGTGAGGGCAGCCTTGGCTTGGGCAGGGCCTTTATGGACTGAGATGCAAGGGTGGTGGTGGTGGGGCTCCCCATCCTTCTCAGTACATTCCTTCTGCTTCTGAAGACATCCCCCCCATCCTGTTCCTTGCTTCCCTACCTCCATTCCCCTCCCTCTCACGCATCCCCCAGTCAAGAGCAGACCACATGCTTCGCTTTGGCCACGCGGGAAGCTAGCCCCCCTCCTGTCAGTGTTTTGGACTCCATCTCTCGTTCTCTAATACCTTGCTTCATATTCATAATTTTATTGGAATTCCAAACTTTTCAATGAAAAAAATTTAAAGTTCCTTACCAATTATCCTTTTTTAAAAAAGAAAAAGAAAGAAAGGAGCAGACATTTATCCACAATGTGTATTTCTTACCTTTTCTCTGCTGTAGCAGCTCCTCAGCCTATCTCTTTTATATTTGTAGGAGAGGCTCCCATGCCTGGACCCCACTGTATGATTTATAAACAGACAGTATGTGAGTGCCTTTTGCAGAAGAGAGTGTGTTGAAATCGTCTGAGTCAGCCCGGCGCTGTCACCAAGGAAATGCTACCTCTCTGTCCCTTGCTGTGCGCTGATCATCGCCAGAGGTGCTTCACTCTGAGTTGTTGGTTTTGGTTTGGTATTCTTCCCCCCCCCCCCTTTTTTTTTCTAGGGAGGGGGCTCTGTGTTTCATTTGGCAAGGAAAGAGGAAAAAGGAATCCTCCCCCCAGAGTGTTCATGGCCAGTGTTGCTGTAAGAAGACATCTTTTAAGTTGCTTTTGTTAAGACATCCATGTGAACATACATGTACATGAAACCTACCGACCGTCATGCCTCACCGCTCCCTCCCATCTCAGGTAGAAGGTTGACACAGTGTAGGGTTATGGAGACCCGTGTTAAGAATTCCGAAGACCCCAGCTCATAATCTGTGGCAGTCCGTTGTCATTGGCGCATAGCAGATGGGTCCTATGTTGAGATCCTGGTTTGATCACTTCCTGTACTTGAAGTCTGAAAGAGAAAGAAAAGAGAAGAAACAAGTTTTCTTGGGGTGATTGAGATTGTGATCGAATTCTAAATCACTATGAAGGAACATGTTTTAATTCTGTCCTGAGAAGCATGTTACGTTACCGTATCATCTGTACATATATATATGCACTATGTATATACATATATATTAATACTGGTATTTTTACTTAATCTATAAGATGTCGTAAAAGAATTAAGTTTGTTTTTTTTCTTTTGTTTTATAAATAAACTGTTGCGTATTGCATTTGATTGGTTAGTCCTTGATTCAGAAGAAGTTGTTCTCTCTTAAGTTTGGCTCCCAGTGTTCTGTTCCACGTCACCAACTAATCTAGAATGCAAACAATCTAACTAACCTTCAGCCCTTGGAAAGCACTGTGCTTGGTCTAAGTGCTTCTTTATTTATAAAATTAGATGACATGGTCCTTAGGACGGAGGTCCTTGTCTTCGGTGAATCCTTTGGCCAGAGTTGAACCAGGAAGATCCTCTGAAAAGATGTCAAGGAGTAACCATTACCTTTTTTAATAGCTGGCATCTGAGATGCTTCCCCAAAGATCCATAAAGGTTTGGGTCCCCATCGTTGCACTACTGGAAGATGCCAGAGCCGTTAGCCTGTGCCTAACTGCATGTGTAGGTACGTGCCTGTAATCCAACCACGTAAGGGGTACAGGCAGGAGGATTAGAGGCTCAAGGTCACCATGGACACTTAAGGAGTCAATGCCAGCTTCAGCTACTTGAGATCCTTCCTCAGCTGGTGAAAGAGCTGGAGGACAGTTGAGTGAGGAAGAGAGCTTGTTCCGCAAGCGTGAAGACCCGAGTGGGAATCCCTAGCAACCACTTAGCCAACCCCAGCACTGAGGATCAGGGGCGGGTGCCCTCTGCATGTGTCCCATTATGGTCTCCCATCTTAGCACGTGACCAGAACAGTGGAGCCAACCGACCATGCACCCAAACTTCGGGATCCACAAAATAAATCTTTACTCTGTATAAGTTGAGTATCTTAGTTATTTGCTAAGGTAACAGGAAACTGACGGACACACACCTTCACAGACAAGAGGGATCCTTGGGAAACTCTTGGGGTACCCCTAGTGGAGGACTTAGCCATTTCCCCCATCTGTCCCAATGATTGCTTGCTGGAGACAATGTGCCCCCAGTTCTGAGTCAGAAGGGAGTGAGGCCTTGCATGGGTGTGGAGTGATCAGGAGAGAAGCTGTGTAAGTGCTTCTAATGCAGCGTGGGCCTGCCCTGTCGGAAGACCAGTCACTCTCAAGTGCACGGGGTGAGGGGAACTCCGCCAGGCACTCAAGGCTTCAGTGGCCGTCCACAGCCTTGTAAGGAGTACGGGGTGGGAATACTGGCTATCTATCTTTGTGGGAAGATCTTGTTCCATCCAAAACACAGAATGTAGAAGTAAATTCAGCTTAGGGATGAGCTCCTTCCGACACACTCCTTAGGGTCTGGACCTAATGGGACGAAGAGAATTAGACAAAATGGCACACTTCAGTCAGTCGTGACTTGGCTAAAATCAGGTCGTCTAACCACAGGTGACCCTGTGCATGGCTCTGCCTCATGTGGGTCCTTCATTTTCTTCCCCATTTGTTTCCCTTTATTGAACATAGACTCTTTTATACAATATATCCTGATTATAGTTTCCCCTCCCTCTATCCCTTCCAGTTCCTCTCCAGCTCCCCTCCCCTCTGATTCCAGTCTTTCACTAGAAAAGAACAGGCTTCTAAGAGACAACAACCAAATGTGACAAAATCAAACATAATAGGATAAAGCAAAAAAAAAAAATCATATTCAAGTTGGATAAGGCAATCCAACAGAAAGAAAAGAGTCCCAGGAACAGGCACAAGAATCAGAGATTCATCAGTTCTCACACCCAGGAGTCCCAAAAAGCACTAAGCGGAAAGCTACAATCTCTATGCAGAGGACCTAGTGGAGGCTCATGGTGGCCCTGTTGGCTTCAGTCTCTGTGAGCTCAGCTGCACCTTGCTTAGTTGGTTCAGCGGGCCTTATTCTCCTGGTGTCCCCCATCCCCTCTGGCTCTTACACTCCTTCCATCTCCTCCTCCACAGGGTTCCCTGGGATCAGAGGGGAGGGATTTGATGGAGACATCCCATTTAGACTCTTTCTCCACATAATGTCTCTCTGTGGACCTCTGTATCATTTCCTGACTGCTGCCAGAGGAAGCTTCTCTGTTGATGACTCAATGAGACATAGTATATACTTTATATTGATTATTATCAGAGGCCTTGGGTACCAGCTTTGGTACCCCTTCAGGACTCAGAACTAACTGTAAGTCTATGGCAGGCGACGATCTGAGGGTAAAAAATTAACTCAAGTACATTATCTCTGCATCTTCTTTATTTTTCATGCAAGGGGAGAAAGTGGAGTGAAGGGGGCTGGAGGAGAGGAAGAATAAAAAGAAGAGTAAGGGAAAGAATAAGGAGAAGAAAGAAGGAGAAGAAGGGGAAGAAGTAGAAGTAGCGAGAAGAAGATCTCTGGCCCATCTAGTCTCTGGTTCTTGGTTGCCCAAGCAGTGTTGGGAATCTTCATTTCATGGAGTGGGCCCTTAAGTCAGATCAGACATTGGTTGGCTACTCCCACAACTTCTAGTCCACCATTGCCCTAACATATTTTGCAAGCAGGAAAAAATGTATGTCAAAGGTTTTGTGGTTGGATTGGTATTTCTGTTTTTCTTTTGGTAGCCTTCAAAGCACCTTCCCTCACCAAAGACACAACAACATAGTGGTGAAGGTTTCATATAGGCCCTAGCTCAACTTCTCCATGTTCAGCGAGTCTGTGTGAGTGTTGTCCTCAGCAGTGGGGCCCACAGTCAGTTTAGGAGAGCAACCCCTTATCTTCGCAACAGCCCGGGTTTTGGGATTTTTATGTAAACCCCATTGGCCAACAATTCAATTGAATGCAACCAAGTTCTGGTACTGAAAGACTTGTGTAATGACAAGAGATGGCCTTTTGGTGCCTGTTTCTCCCATTATTAGGAGACCTCATTAGGATTACCTTCAAATATTTGAGGAAGTTTTCAGTGCACTGCTTTCCATATCATCCCTCAAATGCCCCTTAATTCCAGCTGTCTCTCCCTGAATTCCCTCTCAACCCTATCATTTCCCTTCCCCCTCCCCACCTGATCCTCCCGTTCTTGTCTCACCTGCCCCCAGTCCACCTGTAAAGTCTGTTCTATTTTCATGTTAATCCTTTAAATATGGTACCTGCACATACATTAGCATGTATACCTTGAGTATAAACATGTACATGCATGTTAAGTGTAAGTTTGTATATATGTGCAGAAACATGTACATAACCACCTGCGTGTGCTAAGTCACATGTGTGTAGGAATAAGGGTGTATGTGTATGTCTATATGTAGACGTGTTTGTGTTTGCATTTATGCACATGTATGTAGAAAAGAATTCTCTGCCCCCAGAATCTGGCTGATTCAGCTGTGTGTACGTCTTCTCACTGTGAGCAGAGAGAGCAGCAGGGGCCCTGGTTCTGAGGCATCAGCATGGCATCCCTTGTCTCCCACGAGGAGCATCCCATACAGGCTGCTCCTCCAAATCACTTGGGTTTGTGATCAGTATGCTCGCACTCACAGTAGAGAGATGAGAGCTGGCCTGGAGGTGGGGCAGGGGTCCGCGCAGCTGCTGCTGCGGCTGTGTACCTGCCCCTGCCCCTGCCGAAAGCGAGCCCAGTACTAGCCCTGCCTGGGGCAGGGGTGGGCCCTTTGGCTGTCAGGGCATCTCATGCAATGAGAAGTTGCTGCTGGTCTCCCCTTTCGGCCATTTTTTGACGTTGTCTGTATGGTTGCGATGATACGGACTGTATGCTTTCTTTGCTGCTGTTTTTAAACATCCCACCATGACACAGCTCCTTTTCAATGGCCTTAGAAGCCTCTTAGAAACATTAGTGATGACTCTGGAGCGCTGTAGTCACCTGCTGTAACACCACAGCATTTCCTGCTGTTATGAGTACAGCTTCCGCAAACGTCTTTAGGGACATTTTTATTTTTGGCACGTTTTTCTTTTGTGGCTCTGGAGATAAAATCCAGGGCCTCATGCATACTAACAAATGCTCACTTGCGCACACCCTCAGCCTTTTTAACGTATTTTGAACCGCACATAAAATATAAATATATGGCTTGTTTTTACCTCTGTCATGTAATAATTAGCTCTAAGGAGAGAAAGTGTTTCTACCAATCCAAGAACGGTGTGTTATACGCTGCTTCCCCAAGAAAAACCTTATTTTATTAACTCTTAATAGCTGGCACTTTATAATTCTCTCTGGCTACCCCTTTTTTGCTACACACAATGGATTTTGTAATATTTCACCGTTAGCAAGATCGGGAAGGAAATTCAGTATCCGCACTGTCGTGGCTATTGTAGTTTTTAAGAGCTTCTCGCTTCAGTACCCATTTATTTATGAAGCTACATGGAATTTTAGGACTTTTATCAAATTTAGAGGATTACTGAAGTTTTGTTTTTCTCATATATAAGCTGTAGATTTGCTGGCATTTCAATTTCTTTTGTTCAGTGACTTATTTTATTTATTTCTGTATTTACATCATTCTTCCCTCATTCTTTTGCTAATTTCTCCTGTACACCCACATTCCTCAAATTCGTCATCTCTTATTCTTTAATATCATTGATCTATATAGGTATATACATATATATCACATATACATATACATGTAAATTTATAAATACATCTGCTAAGTTGCTTCCATTAGGGATTGGATAACTATCGGGGTCTCATAGAAGAAGACTGATTCTCCCTCTCTCAGAAGCCATTAATTGCCTGGAGCTCTTCGTCTAGGGACCTAGTGAGATTGTTCCATCCCCACTGGGATGTCAGCTGGTGTTGTCCTTGTTCAAGTATTACTTAGGCAGACATTCTTATTATTGTGTATGTCAGCATAAAGCATGTGTGTAGGCATACATCATGGCACGGGCATGAAGGTGGGTGTCAGACAGCGCCCTTGTTAAGTCAGTTCTCTCCTTCCACCGTTATATGGGTTCCAGGGGTCATAGTCGGGTTGGCACGCTTGCATAGTTTCTCTATCTCTGGAGACATCTTGCTGGCCCTAAGTTATTTCTTAAGTGATTGCACATAAGCATTAATAGTTAAACATGGGGATTCCTACCTAACATTGCATGGTAATAAATCATGTTGCAAATGGACATTTGGTTGGATAATATTGCATGTCATTTTTAATGTTTATTCTTAGCTCAGTG